TACATTGGATAAATTGAGAAATATTCTGCTTGGAAAAATTCATGAAACGTTTAAAATAAGTTATGATGGGCTAAGTGACGATCATGTGAAGGGTGTGTTTCTTGATGTATGTATTTTCTTTTTTGGATGGGATATAATTGCTGTCATGCGAATATTGGATGGCTGTAGTCGCTATCCTGTAGAATCAGATATCAGCACCCTCGAAGATCGATGTCTTGTAGATATTGATTCAGAAGACACACTGAGAATGCATGACTTGATTCAAGACATGGGATAAAAAATTGTGCAGGCAGAATCTGTTGCAGAACCTGAAAAACGTAGTCGATTGTGGCATTGTGAAGATGTAACAAGTGTGTTAAGGAACGAATCTGTAAGTACTTCCCAATGAAATGTTTTTTATGTTGTTGAATGCATGTAAAGAAACAGAAGTTTATGCATATCCCACATCAAATGCCTTGTATGCCCTACATATATAGTGTATGTACTTCTAATTGAGAAAAGAAAAGAAATTGTTTTCATCCAATGGTGCTTGTTGTGGAGAAACAATCCTTTCCTTCTTAACTTGTTCCTTTTTTATCCCTAGCAGGGAACGGAAGCAATTAGAGGACTAATTTTAGAGTTGCCAGAAAATTCTGATGAACATAGCTTCCGCACAGAAGCATTTAAGAATATGCGGCATCTGAAATTTCTCATACTTATGTAAAGGTCACTGGAAGCTACCGTGATCTTTCCAAGGAGTTAAGATTGTTGTGTTGGCATGGATTTCCTCTAGAGGTCATACCCGAAGATTTTGATTTACGAAACTTAGTTTATATTGACGTGAGCTACAGCAAGCTTGTACGAGTTTGGGAGGATTCAGACCGGGTACGATTCATATAATTGTCGTAACCTCAACCAAATTATTAATCCTTTCCTCCTCCGAGTGTTGTAAATACCAACATCAGTCGAGAGTCATGCTTTCTCTCTAATTTATCTTGATTTTGATTTATTTGTGTTCTCTTTTTGTCCAACAGTTGCCGGAAAGTTGAAGGTTCTTACTCTCAATCATTCCTGTAACCTGAGTCAATTACCATGACTTCTTAAAACTCCCAAATCTCGAGGAATTGAGCCTCAAAGGCTGTAAGGGTGTGTCTGGGGGTTACCATTCCTTAGCACAACTGAAGATGCTTCATTATTTAGATCTCAGCGACTGCAATATAACAGATGATGCGATTCTTGAAAACCTTGGAAGGATTCTATCTTCTTTAAGGAGTTTAATACTAGATGGAAGTGGTTTTAATCGGCTGCCCATCCTCAGTGGCCTTTCCCAGCTTGAGTTATTAAGTTTAAATCATTGCACAAACCTTCAGGCAATCCCGGATTTGCCGACGAGTTTGATTACACTTGAAGCGAATTACTGCACTGCACTGGAAACAATGCCCAACTTTTCAGAGATGTTCAATATGGTGGAATTGCAACTGAAAGGCTGCCGCAAACTCAAAGATATTCGAAATATGGATAACTCATTGTACAACATGGTTACCATTCATATGGAAGGGTGCACCAGTCTCACTGATACTTTTAAGTAGAAGCTTCTAGAGGTATGGGACTCTCTCTCTCTCTCTCTCTCTCTCTCTCTCTCTCTCTCTCTCTCTCGGCTTTTCGTATTGTTGCTTATACTAACTTTGATATAGGAATAGGAGGGCTGGCCGTGTGCATAGTTTATTCTTCGGACCACTCCAACTGTACTGGGTCTCCATTCATGTTGTTAATCGTACCCAGCGAACTCATTTTTGCATTTGGCTAATGGATGCCATCGTAACTGCTTCCCATGAAGATTATCTTTGGCTGGGAAGTCTTTCAAATAGGAAGCTCAATCTGAAAGGTGGCGACAAGGTTTGTGTCCATGCAAAATTTTATGGAACAGAGGATGATCATCAAATTAAGGTGAAGAAAACAGGAGTGGATTTTATAGAATGGGAACATGATTTATCTTCAGGAATGGAAGATGTGGACTATGAGCGTGTACCATATGAGTCTGATGATGATACTGATGAGGAGGACTATCAAACTATGCCATAGTTAAGCGATCACTCATTTGATGAGGTCCGACATTGTAAAAGATTAAGGTTTCATCTCAATATTGAAAGCTTTGACGATGAAGAAACAACCGGGAGTTGAATGAAAGTGCAGTAAAGAGAATTGCGGGGAAGTACGTAGACATTTACTACAAACTTGTGTAAAAGTCTTACCCAATCAGGTCATTTTCTTTTCTTTATGTTTTTTCCTCTCTGAAGTCCATGGCAGCATGTTTTTAAGTCTCACTTTTTGTGGAGAGCTTTTTCAGTGTGATTGGTACATGAAGTGGTATATCATGTGTCACTAAATAAATAGTGTGATATGTGTGCTAAAAAGTTAATAATTGAAAAAATAAAATTTCCATCACTACTATGAAAACCCATGATGTATCACTTGTGTTCCCGTCACAATTAAAAATTTCTCCTGTTTGCGAGAGAAATATTTGAGGTTAGGGCATGTTTTTACGTCTCACTGTTTGTTCGTATGACTTGAAGAAGCGTTTTAACTTTTAAGAAGAAGCATATGCCCTTTTTTTTGGTTGAAAAGCATTCCAAAGTGGTGTTCTCTTGGTAACATAGGAAGTAGCTCAACGTACTGATAAGTTTATGCAAGGTCTCTCCTCTTATCAATGTGGGATTTATTCTCAACACGTCATTTCACGTGTGGCAAATTTCAAGCTTACCATGTGGACAACATAATGGGATGACATGGAGCGTCTGTGGTCATTTGGCTTCACACGTGTGACAACTTGTGGGGAGTAACCCAACTATTTATAATCATATGCAAGGTTCATCCTTCTCCAATGTGGGATTGATACTGTCAACACACACATTCACATGTGGAGAATTTTCAAGCCTAACATGTGGATAACACAAACTGGATGACATGGAACACGTGTGACCATTAGACTTCACACATAGAATAACCTACTCTAATAACATGAAGAAAGTTGGAATTCCACTATAAAATCAATTCACAATATGAGAGTAACTCAATTTACTTTTAAACCCATGCAAAGTCTCTTCTCAATGTGAGATTCACTCGCAATACTTTTTTAGATAGTTCTTGAATTCTTAATAAAAGTTTTAATATGGTTATAAACAAAGCACTTTTAGCTGAAGGGTATTTTTCAGAGAACCAATGCCGAACAAATCCTTAATTAGACATCTAAGTAACTAAGTAATAAATTAGTGACTTCTAATTTGATTTATTAGTGGCATTAGAAAAACTTACATGCAAGTGTGTCGTGTTTATCTCTCTCCCGGTCTCCCCACCCCATTTCAAAGAAATTAATTTCCCCTCATCCATCCCCATTATCGCCCTCCTTTTCTCTGCTCTAGTTTCAAGGCTTATGCCACCCGAATTTGAAATTTTTGTGGCGGTGCTTGCATGCACAGGACGATGCAAAAGGATGTAACCCACCCCACGATATATAAGTCATTTCCTAGGTGTTGGCGTCTGTTAGGGTTCTTCGAGATCTGATTTTAGAGAGCGATTCACCTCATATCATCATGATCATGCACGAACCACAATTAATGAATTAGGTTCAATTTCTCTATTAAAATTTCATTGAAAATATTTATCATGCTTCTAGTACCGCCCCATGACGTGCGTAACAGGCAATCATAAGCTTCAAGAAATAACTCTTTCTGCGCAATCTTCCGGAACAAGCTAGCAGTGGATTTGACAGAATCTGTCTTTGCATAGAGATTTAGCAATTATTTATATACTAAAACCCGATGGAAAAGCACTGTTCACGAGCAGTGTTTTGGCGGAACTGGCCTTGAGCTGCTGCCCATTCACAGCTATTTTTTTCCATTCTGTACAGTAAATTTACAGTTTTACCCTTTGTATGCATGTGTTGGTCATCATGGAAAAGAGAAAAGAAAAAACAATCTTCAAGGTCTTGCGTCTTTCATCAGCATGTACTCCCCTCTGTGCTACATCCGAAACCTTTGAAAAAAAGCCGAAGGAAAAAAGTTACTCACAAAAGAGATAATAAATGCGAAGATCCATTCCTTGAAAAGACAGAGGACATGAGGGATGCTACAGTTGCATAAAATGATAAGGATATCGGTTTGAGAGAAAAAAATAATTAAAAAATATGAAAAGCTGATTTGATGTGTTTGATTTTTGTTTTCTAATATTTTGTTGTTTAGCATACCAAGGAAATTGATGAGCACATCTTGATCGTTCCCTACCATTTAAGAAAAAGACAGGAAACAGAGATGCCATTGCCATTGCAGTTACGTCGTGGTAGTAACGAAGGCTCATTCCTCAAAAAAGGCTAATAAATGTGAAGTGGCAAAAAAAAAAAAAAAAATATATATATATATATATATATAAAAGAAAAGATGGTTCAATCTGAAAGTGTGAGGTCATGATGTAAAGTGAGAGGAGAAAAAAAAAATATATATATATATATATTATATACTAAAACTCAGTTGAGTTTTAGCACTGTTCAGCAATAGTAAAAATGCGGAAATGCCTCTAATTTTTTCGGTCCATTACCGTTCTACTGCTTGCTTCACACAATAAAATACCTGTATTGCCCATGATTGCCATATGTTGATCATCCTTTGTCTTTCCAGGTTGCGTGTCTATGATCGTTGAGTTGTGGCACAAAGAAAGATAAAATAATTAATTAAAAAATTGACAAAAAATTATTTAAAAAATATGACTTAAATCAGGCCACATGGTTTGTGGCGCACAACACAATAAAAAATTATAAAAACATTGAATGGACAAAATAATTATTAAAAATTGTGAGAACCCATCTGTCCCCATTGCTTTGCCTTTTGATTATTTTATTTTTTGATTTTGCTTGGCTTTTTGCCTTCCATGCCAAGTCTCCTGCAGTAGGTGGCACGGAACATGATTTGTGGCACAAAACACAATAAAATATTATAAAAACATTTGAATGCAGAGTCTCCTACAGGGTGTGGGCACAAAGAAAGATAAAATAATAATAAAAAAACTGAAAACAAATATTTAAAAAAATGAGTTAATCCAGGTTTGTGGCACATAACACAATAAAAAATTATAAAAAATTTTGAATGCATGGAAACCAAATATTAAAAATTGTGAGAAACCTCGCTGTCTTCCACCTTGCCTTTGGTTATTTTATTTTTTGGTTTTGCTCTGCTTTTTGTCTTCCACGTGTTGATCATCAGGGGATTTTATGCTGAAAGGGCTTCTCCCTTTATCTTTCATTTTTATCTCTTTCTTTCCTCAATTTTTCCTTTGCTTTTTCTGCTTCTTTCTTTCGCGTTTTAGCAAACGGTGCTTCGTCTTTTTTTCGTTTGTGTGTCATCATTGTTATTATGGGTGCATGATTTGGTTATGTTTTGTATTTTTAAGAAATGGTGTTGTTCGTTTTTCCAAGGTGTTGTGTTGCCATTTTCGCGCTGGTTCTACTTCAGGTATGTCGTTCTTCGTTTCTTTTTCTTTTTTTTTCCCCCACTTATTTTTGCTTATTTTATGTTCTTGGGTAAATTTGGTGTTTAATTTAGAGCACAGAAAATAGGAAATAATGATTAAAAAATTCTGTTTTTGGATGAATTTGATGTTTAAATTAGAGTAGAGAAAATAGGAAATAATAAATAAAGAACGAAAGAGAAATTAAAAAATTTATGCTTTGTTTGACCAGGGTAAATGAAAAATACAGCTCCAACTCCTATCGATAAATTACAATCGTCTATAAAGCTAGCGAAGTTAAGAGTCCGAATTTGCAGGATATGAAAACCATCGATTCCCGGAACTGCTCAAACATAAGCAAAGCAGGTGATTTATAATAAGTGACTGTTTCTTTGTTCTTTATTGTGCTACCTAACTGAGTTTTAGTATATGTATAATTTATCATTGTACATTTTTTTTTAAATTTTTCTGTGATAACAAACAATAAAATTTTTATACCTTCTTAACTTTTTAAACCCATGTATATCTGATGGGAAGAAAAAAAATATTAAAAAAATGTGATTAAAACTGGGCCACATGATTTGTGGCGCAACAAACAATAACAATTTATACTTGCTCACGTGTCAGTCATCGCCACAAGGTAGTATCTCTACCTTTGTTCTTCTTTCTTCCGTTTTCTTTTGAATTTTTCTTTGTTGTTTTTCTTTGCTTCTCCCGGTTTTGGTAGTCGTTTGCTTTCTTTGTTGTCTTTGTTTGCTTCTCCCGCTCTTGCCAGTCCTTTTCTTTTGTTTTTGAATCGTTCTCAACACCTAAGCCAAGTGATCAATCTTATAAACGAAAAAGAGAATCTATGAGAAGAGCGCTTGTCATTCCTTGTGAACAAAGGTTTGATATCTAATTTCATACTATTCTCAAATATGATGTTTATATTTTTACATCATGTTTTAAAAAATTCCCATGTGTTCACTTCAACTTTCTTAAAATTTGACATATCAAAAATTTTCAATAATTATTAAAAAAAAATCATCTTTTCTTCTTTTTGTGAAAAACTATATTAATGTTGCATAATCATTCAACTCAGTGAATCTGAAGAAATTTCAGAAGTTGATCCAAGAGAATGTGATGAGGTTCCGATCAAGTTATTAAAAAAAAAAAAAAATCACTTCCTACTCAGGCAAAGCCACACAACAGCACTAGAAACAATGATTAGGTTAGTATGCTTTCAAGTTGTTTTATCTTTTCCTCCATTACCATTTAAATGTGATACTAAATCCTATCTAAATATGTTATGTTCTATTCCTCTTTGTTCAGGTTGTTTTATCCATGACAACAAGGGCTGAAGACACATTTCACTACTCTGATCAAGAATGTTTACTGTGTTTTGTTTATCTATATTAAATCATGTTTAACATGTTTAAAAACCTGTACATATCTTTTTTTGCCCAAAACTCAACAATATTTTTTGCATCCCCATACAACAGCATCTCCACATTTTTTGTATGCAAAAGCTGGAACACACTATATTAGATGGGGTTATTAGAAGAAATTTAGTTATTATAATGTTTTTTGTATCTTTATACCAGGAATTTCTATTTTTTGTAACTGAATGTAATCCTCCTGGTCCAGAAATACATACAATTGCTACAATATAATGGATAACTATAATTTGTATCTTTATATTATCTAAATTTAACCTTTTCTAGTTAATGTTTTTCCAAATTCATTGTTGCTATCGTTGTTCCTATTTTGTAACCGAAATTTTTCATTTTTAACATCTTAAGTTCAAACCCGCGGCAACGTGCGGGTGTTAAGCACTAGTGTATACCTAAGAGATAAATCAGAGTTGAATCCGTTCCTAACAACAACACCATGCACACAATGACACAACTTTCAAGCCTAAAATTTAACAACTGAGCACAAGCTAAAAAATAGAACAAGCGTCACCTGGTCAGATTAACGTATTTGTGCCTTTAGTGGTAAGGACTTTGTACTACAATTGAGAACATAAATAGTCATTTCGAAAAGCCGCTTAAAACATCTCCAACCAAAGATTTTAGATGATCAGATGGTCAAAAATAATCTAAAAACCATCTTCAATCAAGAATTAGGCCAAAAGGCTCGTGGTTCTACTGTACCACTCTGTAATTCCTCTTGAGGACAATGTTAGAAAGTCAACAATTATCCGAAAGGAATTCTGTGACTTGCGGAATGTTTGTTGGAATGATTGCCATAATTTGGGGGTATTGATTATGTTGGATGGAATGATTACCTCCACCTTTGCTTTCCTATAAACGTTTGTAAATTGTACTTTGAATTAATAAAAGAAAATATATTCAGCTCAAACTTTTTGCTGTTGAAAGGTTTTATCTTGACAGTGGGATTTGTTATAAGACTACTTGCTAAAAGTTGATGTGATATTTTTTAAGCTATTTTGTGATTGTTTTCGATTTGCCTGGATTTATAATTCAACTTTCTGTAAAAAATTATGGTACTTTTTGCGAAAGATGTCTACATAAAAAAAAAAAAAAAAACGGTATTGTTGTCCAATAAATACCATCTTTTTGAAAAATTAAATTACTTATTTTACAATATTGACGTAAATTACGTATGCCTCCTCCTACTTAAATTCAATTAATTACTGATCACAAAGTTAAAATAGAAGCTCATCTAGCTAGCCTATTAAAGTTAATTTTTTTCATCTTTTGTTAAGAGATGAGGTCATCTAGCTAGCCTATTAAAGTTAGAGATGAGGTCTCTTTTTGTTGATACTCTCTATAACTGGCTCCAACAATGGGAACCTGCTTGGCGCCGAAAATTCTTATAACGACATCATAATGTCAACCGACCTTAAAATACAATAAGATCGTCAACTGGTCAAAATTGGATTACAGATTTCTCAAAAACTAAAAAAAAGGAAATTGCATGGTAAAACAGTTAATACAACCTTTTTTTTTTTAATTTTAAATTTGATGGTAACATTTTATACGATTAAACTGTGAGAGGAATAGCACTCACGCGTTGTTGACACTGGGGAATCTTGGGAAAGACTTGACTTGATTATTTGAAAGCCAAGCTGCACTTCTACAGGCTGCAATGGATACCAGCAGCTCTGCCCATGGAGCCGCCGCTGCCGCCTCTACGTCTTCCTCGCGGAGCTCAAACCGCTGGAAGTACGAGGTGTTCCTGAGCTTTAGAGGTGAAGACACCCGCAACACCTACACAAGCCACCTCTTCATTGCGTTACGCAATGCCGGAATTAACACGTTTATGGACAACCAGCTCACAAGGGGGGAAAACATACAGAGAGAACTTGACCAAGAAATTGAAGGGTCGAGAATCGCCGTCATCGTCTTCTCGAAGAGGGACGCGGAGTCCCGATGGTGCCTGAGGGAGCTGTCGAAGATCATGAGGTGCCGAGAAGATCAAGAGGGGAAAATAGTGTATCCAATTTTCTACGACATTAACCCTTCTGAAGTCAGGAGACAGAATGGTAGTTTTGAGGAAGCATTTCGGAGCATGAAAGTGATCAAGATCCAAACGAGGTCAAGCAGTGGAGAGAGGATCTTAAGGCTTCTGCAGATTTGTCTGGCCGGGATCTTCTAACCACGGCCGACAGGTATACTTTTTTGTTTACTTAAAATTTCATATCACCAAATTTCACTAATCAACCAAAATTTAGATATTATAATTAAGGCATTGAATCTGATTTTATATGTGATGAGAAAAATTGGATCGTTGATCTCTGACTATGATAGAACCGTAATTTTGGTCCCCTACATAAAAATTTATTACAATTGGTGTATGAATTTTATAAAAGGTAGAGCATTTGCATAAGAATTTCCGTCGAAATTATGGAAGTGAAACGCAGGGTACGTGCTTTGTTTTTTATGGGTGTGTGAAGGACACATGCTCCACACTTTATCAAATTAAAATACCAATTGTAATGGATTCTTAATTATATTATTGAAATCTAGAATTGCATAATAGTCCAATCACTAATGATCTAATGTATTCACATTCTAATGAAATATTAGATACGTGGTTGAATTAAGCTCAATTAATCTAGTTTATTCAAATCTGTTTCAATATGTAAATATCTAGTCATTATGAATAAGGCATTTAGTATGGCTCTCGTAATTTGGAATTTCTAATGTATTCACATTATAATGAAAGATTAGATACGTGGTTGAATTGTAGCTCAATTAATCTAGTTTATTCAAATCTGTTTCATATGTAAATATCTAGTCATTATGAATAAGGCATTTAGTATGGCTCTCGTAATTTGGAATTTCTACCGTGTAGGTGTGAAGGGGTGTTTATCGAGAAAATTGTTGGGGATGTCAAGGGACTACTGAAAACCACAGACTTTAAAGAAGCCAAGCACTCAGTTGGAATGGCTTTTCGCGTGCAAGAATTCAGTACTAAATACTTAGATGTTGGAGGTTCACCTGATGTTCAAATAATTGGAATTTGTGGTATGGGTGGTATAGGTAAAACAACGCTTGCGAGAGCCATTTTTAGCAAATATCATCATAGTTTCAACAGTCAATGTTACCTTGAAGAGGTGAGTAAAAAGAAAAATATGGTTGGTCTGCAAGAACAACTTCTTCGAGATATTTTAAAACAACCTGACATTAAGGTAAGCAGTGTTGCCGAAGGGACCAATGAGATAGAGAAAAGACTTGGAAGCATGAAGGTACTCATCGTGGTTGATGACATAGATGATGCAGACCAGTTAGATGAGTTGGCGATAGAACACAAATCGTTTGGTCCAGGAAGTAGGATTATTATAACGACAAGAGATGAACAAGTGCTGAATATACAAAAGGTGGATAAAAGATATAAGGCACAAGCAATGACAAAGAAAGAAGCTCTTAAGCTCCTTAGTTGGCATGCCTTTGGAAATGATTATCCCGATAAAGAATATATTGAATTGGCAAGAGATATTATTGATTATTGTGGAGGATTGCCCCTTGCTCTAAAAGTTGTTGGTCGTTTGTTGGCTACGAAAAAGAGTAAAACCATATGGGAAAGTACATTGGATAAATTAAGAAATATTCCAGATGGAAAAATTCATGAAACGCTTAAATTAAGTTACGATGGGCTACCTGATGATCATGTGAAGGGTGTGTTTCTTGACATATCTCATTTCTATATTGAAACAGATAAAAGTATCACCACAGCAATATTGAATGATTGTAGCAATTTTCGTGTAGAAGCAGAAATTACCACACTCTGCGATCGTTGTCTCTTATATATTGGTAAAGATAAAACATTGAGAATGCATGATTTGATTCGAGATATGGGAAGAGAAATTGTGCGGGCAGAATCTCCTGTGGAATTAGGAAAACGTAGTCGATTGTGGCATAATGAAGATGCAAAAAGCGTGCTAAGGAACGAATCTGTAAGTACTTTTGCAAATAAAAAGATGTTAAGTACATGTAAAGAAAGAGAAGTATATACGCATATCCGCATATATATAATGTATGCTGTACATAGTATATTTGAAGAAAAAGAAGAAAAGAAAAGGCTTTCATCCACTGTGAATTGAAAGAGAAAATACATAATTATGTTGTATGCCCTACCTTTCTAGTAGTTCATTCATCCAATTCACGACTCTGCTTTGTGTGAATATTATCCTTTTCTTGTTTTTTTAATCTCTAACAGGGAACAGAAGCAGTTGAAGGACTAAAGTTACTTTTGCCAGAAGATTCTGATGAGGAGCAAAGCTTCAGTACAGAAGCGTTTAAGAAGATGCGGCGTCTGAAATTTCTCCAGCTGGGAAATGTAAAGCTGACTGGAAGCTACAAACGTCTTTCCAAGGAGTTAAGAGCGTTGTCTTGGATTGGATTTCCTCTTGAAGCCATACCAGCAGATTTCGATCAACGAAAACTAGTTTGTATGTTATTGAGGCACAGCAAGATCGTACGAGTTTGGGAGGATTCGGACCTGGTACGATATAATTATCAATGTCCTTGTAAATATCAACATCAGTCATCGTCATGCATGCTCTCTTTTATTTATTTGGATTTTTATTATTGTTTTCTCTTTTTGAGTAACAGTTGCCTAAGAAGTTGAAGTATCTCTTTCTTAAAGACTGCCATCACCTGACTGAATTACCAGACTTTTCAAAACTCCCACATCTCGAGATATTGATCCTCAGTGGCTGTAAGGGTTTGTGTGGGGGTTACCATTTTTTAGCACAACTGAAGATGATTGAGGTATTAAAACTCAACGACTGCAAAATAACAGATGGTGCCGTTCTCAAAATAATTGGGAGTCTATCTTCTTTAACATACTTAGATCTAGGTGGGAATGGTTTTAATAGGCTACCCATTCTCAGTGGCCTTTCTCAGCTTCGGGAATTACGTCTAAATTATTGCACAAACCTTCAGGCAATCTCAGATTTGCCGAACAGTTTGCTTAAACTGAAAGCGAATTACTGCACTGCACTGGAAATAATGTCTGACTTTTCAGAGATGTCAAAAATGAGGAAATTGGAACTGAAAGACTGCCGCAAACTCAAAGATATTCCAAACTTGGAGAACTCAATGGACTACATGGATTCAATTCATATGGATGGGTGTACCAGTCTCACTGGTACTTTTAAGGAGAAACTTCAAACGGTATGGTACTCTCTCTCTCTCTCTCTCTCTCTCTGCTTTTTGTATTGCTGTTTATACTAACTTTGCACCCTATGGTGTAGAAAAATGCATTTGGTGGAATTTCTCTCTCTGGAAATGATATTCCTAACCGGTTAGCCTATGTCGCGAGAAAGGGTGAAACTGTCAAATTTAAAGTGCCGCCAAGTATTGATTATATAGGAGGGTTGGCTTTGGGCATCGTTTATTCTTCAGACAACTCCGACTCTACTGGGTCTCTATACATTGATTTTGCTAATCTTGCCCAGCGAACTTATTTTCGCATATGCCCAATGGAGGCCATCGTAACAGCTTCCCATGAAGATTATCTTTGGTTGGGAAATCTTTCAAACAAGAAGCTCAATCTGAAAGGCGGCGACACGATTCATGTAAGAGCAAAATTTTATGAAGGAGATAATAGAATTAAGGTGAACAAAACAGGAGTCAATATTGTAAAATGGGATTTGTCTGATGGTCGTACTAATTGGAACACCTATGTGACTATGCCATATGAGTCGTACGAAGACACTACTATGTCATATGAGTTTGATGAAGACACTGATGACGATATACAGTTGAGCAATCGCCATGTTTTCCTTTGCTACAAGACCCCTGAGGCCTGGCCATGGAGCATCGAAGGCTCTGAGTCCGATCCACTCCCTAAGTTCTTCGGCTCCGCTCTCAAAACTAGCAAGAACGACATCACCGTTAAGGTCCGTTTTCTAGCTCAATTCCTCAGCATTTTTTATTGCTTCTTCTTACTGTTTCTTATTTCCTAGAGCTACTGAGTTCTGGTGTTAAGCTGAGTTGACTCCATTACTCACTTTGTGTTGATTTCTAGTTCAAATGGTTGTTTGTATATTCATTCATAAGTAACAATTATAAGTGAGGGCTCTATATAGAGAGACCGAGCAAGACTAGCAAGACAACTGCAAGCCACTGATATGGGCCACTAGTTAAACCAATTAAACTAGATACAAGTTTCTAGGTAAAATATGATAACCAAAACTATGGAGAAAGATGCATGGAGCAGCTGCAACACAGTATGGGAGGTATGGAGCTGCAGATGCAGCTTTATCTCATTCACCAAATGACACAAGGATGCACAATGGTGGCTACAACTCACATGTGAGTAGATGAAGTTGCAGATGCAACTTGTACCTTGAAATTGATGTTGCATATGACTGATGTTGCATCAGTGCATATGACTAATGCTGCATAAGTGCATGGGACTGATGTTGCAGATGCAACTTGTACCTTGACCACTGATGACTTTTTTCAACATAGCCCCTCAAGCTGGATCAAGGGGGTTAATTGATCCAAGCTTGCAAAGCAACCTTTGAAACTGAGTAGACTCTAGGGTTTTTGTGAAAATGTCTGCCAGTTAATCATGACTTCGAGTGAAGACGATTTCGATCACTTTGGCTTGAACTTGGGCACGGATGTAGTGGCAATCCACTTCGATGTGTTTTGTTCTTTCGTGAAACACCGGATTCGATGCGATGTGCATGGCAGCTTGGTTATCACAGTGCAAAAAGATCGATTAAGAGCTTGAAAAACCTAGGTCTCTAAGGAGACTTTTTAACCAAATAAGCTTACAAGTAGTGGATGCCATCGCACGATACTCAGCTTCAGCACTTGACTTAGCTATCACAGCTTGCTTCTTGCTCTTCCATGTAACAAGGTTGCCCTCAATGAAGGTGCAAAAACCTGTGGTAGATTTACAATCAAGGGCATTACCTACCCAGTCAGCATCGGTGTAGCCCATAATGTGAGTTGAACCATTTTTCTTCATGAGAATACCCCTTTAACTGAGCCTTTGAGGTACCTAAGAAGTCTTTTGACAATTACCCAGTGAATTGAGGTAGGAGAATGCAGGAACTGACTAATGAGACTCACTGCATAAGCAATGTCTGGTCTCGTAATAGTAAGATAAATGAGTTTTCCAACTAATCTTTTATAGGTGCTGAGATCAGTTAAAGGTTCTCCTTCAACATCTAACTTAAGCTTGCTGACTAAATGAGTACGAGCAGGTTTGGAGTCCATCATTTTTGCCTCATCAAGAAGATCCAACACATATTTTTTATTTATTTAAGAACATACCTTTGTTAGAAGTAGCCATCTCAATCCCAAGAAAATATTTGAGAACTCCCAAATCTTTGATTGCAAATTTGTGGTGAAGAGATTGCTTAAGAGCATTAAGTTCATTAACATTATCTCATGTACTGATCATATCATCAACATATATAAGTACCATAAGTTTACTAGCTGAACCAATTCATACAAATAAGGAATAATCAACATGGCTTCTTTTGAATCATGCAGCTTCCAAAACTGAGTTCAGTTTGGAGTACCATGCACGAGGAGATTGCTTAAGTCCATATATGGCTTTGTGAAGTTTGCAGACCATATTAGGTTCATTCTCTTAAGGATGTCCTGGTGGTAATCTTATGTATACCTCTTCTTCGAGGTCACCATGAAGAAAGGCATTCTTCACATCCATTTGGAACAAGGGCCATTCATGATTAATAGCTACAAAAAGTAGAACTCTCACAATGTTCATCTTGGCAACTGGAGCAAATGTCTCTTGTAATCAATGCCATATGTTTGAGTGAATCCTCTAGCTATTAGTCTGGCCTTGTGCCTTTCAATTTCACCATTAGAGTGAAATTTTGTCTTGTAAATCCACCTACTTCCCACAACTTTCTTCCTTTTGGGAAGCTTGACAACATTCCTGTGTGATTATCATTTAAGGCCTTGAGTTCTTCGTGCATTACTTCATGCCAAATTGGATTGACACTAGCTTCTTGAAAACTTTTAGGTTCAGCTTCATTAGACAACAGACTAAGGAAAGATGCATGAGATGAAGACAAATTTTTATAAGTAACAGCTTAAGAAATAGGATGCCTTGCAGTATAAGCCACATGCTCTTGAAACCTTGCAGGTGGTGCCTATCTCTGGCAGGGTTTCTCCTTGGAGCAATCACAGCTTCTTGGAGTTGATCTTGAGCTTGAGGAAGATCAGTGAGATTTTCACAACTCACATAATCATCAATATGATTAATAGAAAGCAATTGGGAGCTACATTAATGCACTTCATCTGGAGTAGGAATTGGAAAGGAATCCAAGAAACTCTCTCCCTGTGAAATAGACTCAGAGTTTTTTGAAAAATAGGGAGTGAATTCATCAAATCTCACATTTCGGGACACTGATTTTTCGAGTGCTTGGATTATAGCACTTGTAACCCTTCTGAGAACTTGAATAACCCATGAATACACACTTAGTAGCTCTTGGTTCCAATTTGTCACGCTGAGTAGCTTGAATGTGGACAAAGCAAATGCACCTAAAAGTTCTGAGGTGAGATACATCCATGGTTTTTCCTTTAAGGATCTCATAGGGTAATTTAGAACTTAGTATTCGAGTAAGCAACCTGTTAATGATGTAAGTGGCAATAAGAATGCCTTGGGACCAAAACATCTTGGGAACATTCATTTGAAACATTAAGGACCTGGTTTTTTTTTTTTCCAACAAATCCCTATTTTTTCTCTTGGCTACAAAATGGTTGACATGATGTTAGATGTATACTCAGTGTCATTGTCTGACCTAAGTGTTTGTATCTTGGAGGAAAAATGAGTTTCAACAAGATTGTGAAAGTCTTTAAAGGCATCAAACACTTTACTGTTAAACTTTAACAGATACAACCAAGTAGTTCTAGAGTAATCATCTACAAAGGTAACGTAGTACATATACCCATCAAAGGATTCTACGTTCGAGGGACCCAAAACATCGGAGTGAACAATTTCAAAGAGACTATTGGTTCTAGACTTGGATGAAACAAAAGGAAGTCTAGTAGCTTTTGAGAGTTGACATGTCTCACATTCATGTGAATCTTTACAAAACTTAGGAAACAAAACAGACAACACTTGTTCAGAAGGGTGAGCTAATCTTTGGTGCCAAAGCAGGTGTTCTTGATCAAAACTTAAATTGGCAAAAGGCTTTTGGGCAATGTTGGTATCCTTTGACAAGTAGTACAAACCATTAGATTGACTCATTCACCAATATTCCTCTTAGTGACCCGGTCCTGAAAAACAACATTGTGAGGAGAGAAAATGGCAAGACAATCTAAGGTTTTTGTGATCTTTCCAACAGACAACAACCGGAAAGGAAAAGAAGGAACATAAAGTGCAGGTGACTCGACCCTATCACTCATCAAGTTTATCTTGCCTTTACCTAGAATAGGTTCCCCCTTACCACTTACCACAGATACATGACTAGGTTTATATAACTATGTATACTCATGTAAACTGGATGCTTTGTTTGTCATATGGTCAGTGGCACTGAGTCTATAATCAAAACATCATGTGAAAGACCTATATTAAGAGTTGTGGAATGTGCACTTGTTATACCCTGAGATGTCTCTTTGTGGTACACATTCCGAATCGGCCAAGAATCCAGCAAATTTCCCAAGTAAAGCAGTGGGATTTCCAGTGGTTTGATCCTCACTCTCAATGCTTCCCTTCTTCCTTTGTATATAAGCGACAAACTCATTTATTAAATCAACAAGGTTGGAGGTGAAATTTACTAGTTTATCAGAAGATGTGCTTGTTGCATGATAGACTTTTGGAGCATGAGTTTGTGAGTGATTGAGTAAACCTCTTACATCTCTGAACGACCTGTTTTCAAACTTAGGTCTTAATTCAGGATGTAGGATCCAACACTTCTCCCTCAAATGACCACCACTATTGCAGTAAGTGCACTTCCATTCTGACCTCATTCCTTTGAACTGCTTGTCCCCAGCTGATTTGTGATTAACATTAAATGCTCTAGCTTCAGAGTTGGTTTTGATTTCGACACTCATCACTTTCTACGGGTTTCTTCTCTTTGCACAGTTTGACACACACTTGCAAAAGATGGTAGCTCAGGAGTCATCAAAAGGTGGCTCCTGAGATCTTCATACTCTTGTCCCAAACTAGCCAAGATTTGGAAAACCTTGTCTTCATCAGCTCTCTTTAGAAGCACGGTGGAATTAGTGGTGTGTGGGCGATACCAATCTAGCTCGTTCCATATGTTCTTCAAGCTTCCAAGGTGTTGGAACAAACGCTTGATCACTTTGCTTTAAGCTAGCAAGGTTCTTTTTGAGTTGAAACACACGAACAACATTGTTTTGACTCCTGTACATCTCCTTGAGTACTTCCCAAAGAATATACAATGATTCTGAGTAATTGAAATGCTCAGACAATTTAGGCTCCATGGAGTTGAGCATCCACGACATAACCAGTTGGTCATTACATAACCATGCATCGTAAGAAGTAGAGGTAGTTTCAGGAGATTTAATGCTGCCATTGATGTACCCTAACTTGGATCTTCCTTCTAGGGTAAGCGTGACAACATGAGACCAAAGTAGATAGTTGAATTCATTCAACAACACGGAGCATAGCCTTTGATTAGGATTGATCTCTCCATGAATGATACTGGAAGTTGAAGTAGAGAAACTCGTAGCCTTTGAAATCCAAGGGTTGTTGTCACATCCCGGCCCGGAGGGGGACCACTACCCAGACCCGCTCTACCACCGAAGCACGATATTGTCCCATTTGGGCCCCCAGCACACCCTCACGGTTTTGTTTCTGGGAACTCACAAGCAATTTCCCAGTGGGTCACCCATCCTGGGAATGCTCTCACGCGCTACTCGCTTAACTTCGGAGTTTCCATGGAACCTGAAGCCAGTGAGGTCCCAAAAGGCCTCGTGCTAGGTAGGGATAGGAATATACATATAAGGATCACTTCCCTGGGCGATATGAGATATCACAATCCACCCCTCTTAGGGGCCCGACGTCCTCGTCGGCATACTCGCGACCAGGGTTAGGCTCTGATACCAAATTGTCACATCCCGGCCCGGGGAGGGACCATTACCCGGACCTGCTCCACCACCGAAGCACGATATTGTCCGCTTTGGGCCCCCAGCACACCCTCACGGTTTTGTTTCTGGGAACTCACAAGCAACTTCCCAGTGGGTCACCCATCCTGGGAATGCTCTCGCGCACTACTCGCTTAACTTTGGAGTTCCCATGGAACCCGAAGCCAGTGAGCTCCCAAAATGCCTCGTGCTAGGTAGGGATGGGAATATACATATAAGGATCACTTCCCTGGGCGATGTGAGATATCACAGTTGTCTTCTGCCATTTTTGTGGGATGAACAGAAGGAAAAATTACAGTAAAGAATAAATCACAGGCATACCAATTATGGTTCCTGCTTTGATACCATGTTGATTTCTAGTTCAAATGGTTGTTTGTATATTCATTCATAAGTAACAATTACAAGTGAGGGTTAAATATAGAGAGATCGAGCAAAACTAGCAACTAAAGACAAAAGACAGCTGCAAGCCATTGATATGAGCCACTAGTTAAACCAACTAAACTAGATACAGATGCAATTTTATCTCATTCACCAAATGACACAAGGATGCACAGTGGCGGCTGCAACTGACACGTGAGTCGATGAAGTTGCAGATGCAACTTCTACCTTGAAATTGATGCTGCATATGACTGATGCTACATCAGTGCATATGACTGATGCTGCATACTGAATCACTGATGTTGCAGATGCAACTTGTACCTTGACCACTGATGACTTCTTTCAACACTTTGTTTCTTGGTTTTTGATAGACGTTGCTGACAGTAATTGAAGGACGCGAAGGAACTGAGTTTTCCGACGGCGATGTGTTGATTTTCCCACAAATGATCAAATACAGGTAAATTTGCGTTGATTTCTTGAGGTTTTTGTTTTGTAGTTGCTTTAATTTTAATCCGAATTTATAGGATTTAGATAATTAACCAGTGAGTGGTTAATTTTAATCCAATTCATATTGATGAACTGAAAGCGCAGTTGAGTATTTCTTAACAATACAACAGTAGTAAGAATAGGTATATTAAGCAAGCTTGAGAGGTAAGGAAGAGAACAACAATGTCGCACAGGAGTAAGCTGACGCAATAACTTATAACTATTCAAGACGGCACATAAAAGCTTAACTTGGTGGATGAAAAAAGTTCATATGGTGGTTTAATTATGGAATAATGAGAGTGTTGTCTTACCTATAGCTACATTGAAGAATGCCATGTAAAATTGCTTACAACGGAGAGACTAAAACATGAGCCGACCCACGTTCCCACCCGGACGTTAACAATTCTCTGTTCAAACAGAGAAACAATCAAAACATACTGATGTGTCAACAAAATGCTACATTAGTAAGAATACTCCACTTGAGACAAAATCTAGAGTTGTTATTGGCATTTAGAAAACTAAGTCGTAATACTGTTATTCGAAAAACACCCGAGTGCTATTCAAAAACTGAGTCATATACTATTAAAACTATGTCGTATACTATTGAAACGAATTATTTCCTTACTACAACCAACACTTCCAATATCAAAAGAGAAAGAAATAACAGTATACGACCCATTAGCAGAAAAGTGCCACATTACATACCATCAGATGACAGCAACTAACTCCCGATATCAACTGCTGGAAGAAAAACTTTGCCTGATGCAAAACAACAATTAAATCGAAAAAGTAAGTTTTAGTTATATTATGACTGACTGTTTATGTAAAAATGCTTCAGACCTAACTTTCCCTATCTGAAACTAAACGAAAATCGAGATGGATTCCATTTCAGGGGACATTCAGAGATCCCATATTTGAGACTCTACACTAAAATCATTTCCAATGAAATTTTCTCTGCATTTGAAACTACTTTATCTCATCCTCACTAAATCTGCCAGCACTGCATATTCTCTCGAAGAGTTCTCACCCAGCTGTGTACTTCATCACAATGGCTAGATGAGGTGGTGTGAGCAGAACCAGCAAGAAAGACACCGCACTACTCTCAAGTCTTAAACACAAACCTCTATCAATTATCTCAAATAAGCCACTCTGAAGACTATTTCCACTTCACAGTAAAAACAAAGTGCATGAAGTATAGCTCATATTTTTAGCAGAGTTATTTTGACAACAATTCTGCAAGTGGTGGACTGCCCCGGTGGGTAGGGCGTTTCTCTTAGTCCTACTGCATCCTGGGCTCAAAGTTCTAACCATCCCCCGTACAAGTTTAAGCACACCAAAGGCCAAATTTAGCATATTCTGTCTTCATCACCCAACCTCAGCAAATGCTTATACAAAATTCAAACAGAACTTGCCAAATTCATTCTTAAAATACAAAATGAAAATAGTTTATGATCACTGACCTCTTTGAATCAAACGATATTCGGATGCAGTGATCTGTGGTTCATGATTTCCCTTTGAACATGTTCATCTATCTGCATCACAAAAAAAAATTAATATTTAAAAAAAATACAAAGTTTAAAGGATGAGAAATAAAGAAAATTCAGAAAAAGGGAAGATATAAGAGTCGAAGAAGACAGAACCAAAACATCAAAGACTCGCCCACCAAGATAATCAGGACATCCAATACAACATCCAAGACTCACCCACCATCCAGCTAGCTGGCAAACACTAAAGGCTAAAAATCGAGTGACAAATAAACAAATAGTCTGCTTTCCGATGTTAACATGTAAGAGAATCATGTAGTAGCCTTTTTAGCCTCCTATTGTTTTTTTTTTTCCCGATGTTAACTGTGCAAACCCTAAACTCGATGTCACCCTGTGCCTGTCTCCCTCTCTGCACAATCTCCTTGACGAGCCCCCCACCAAATTGCAGAACACAAACGCCGCAAATGGTGGCCGTTGTATTAGGACTGGAGCAAAAGAGTCATTTGATCTTTCGGTGAAACCCAACCCGAAACGCGTGAGAGCTGCACCCTGGGCCCAAATGCACCGACCCAACCCGGGTGTTAGCACGGCCCACACTAGCACGCACAATGGCAAACCGTAATTTATTCATAATCGAGGGTCCATTCCATAACCAACATGAATTTACTGAACTAATAAATAGATAATTAGATATGTGTTAGCTTCTGAAATTAGTTCTAGAAATTGAATTTAATGGCTCAGTTTATGACTAATTCCTTGCCTGTAAATCCATTTTTGTGATTCTAAAGTTGTCTTTGTTTGTTGATCAAAGGGGCTTGAAAGAGTCGGATGTGGACAGCTTTGTTGATGATGTCCTTGTGAATCACAAATCATGGGCTTCCGGAGTGCAAGAACCGTTGACTGGCTCCCATGTATTTGTATGTACACATTGTAGTCGAGAGGAATGGAATCGTGATGGTGCACGTGTTCTCATTGATAAGTTCGAAGAGGAGGCTGAGCTGCGAGGATTGACGAATCAGTTATTTGTTACTGCTTGCTATCACACTGGAGGCCACAATGGAAACTTGATTATCTACAGCCCAGGTTCAGATGGAAGCATAACAGGCCATTGGTAATATCCGGATCATACCAATTTAAAATTACCGTATTGGGATAGATGAATGAATTTGAGTAATATGTATTATTAATTGCAGGTATGGCTACGTCACTCCTGCTGATGTGCCGGAAATGCTTGATCGGCATATTGGGAAGGGAGAGATCATACAACGACTTTGGAGGTTTGTGTATTTTTGTGCAAGCCCTCAGAACAGTTTATATTCTGCCTCTCTGTATTGTGAAGCCAAGCAGAGTTTCACCAATACAGAAGTCAGTGAATGTATCAGCAGTGTGGAGAAGTCTTTTGAAAGCAGCGAAGTTACTAATTCCTGTGATCTTATTGAGAGCAGGACGACCAGTATCTATAGAGGCAGCACTGGCAGTGATGTTAGCGATGAGAGCAGCTCCAGTAGTTTAGGCAATGCCATGTATAAGCCCCACAAGGCAAACGATATTAGATGGGAAGTGGTGCAAGCTGCACGATCTCATCATAATGGAACACTGGGTAAGGAGCATTTCAAGTTGCTGAGGACACTGGGATGTGGAGATATAGGCAGCGTTTATTTGGCTGAACTGATTGGCTCTGAAACATATTTCGCCATGAAGGTTATGGATAAAGCATTACTGGCAAGTAGGAAAAAACTTCTTAGGGCTCAGACAGAGAGGGAAATACTGCAGTCTCTGGATCATCCCTTCCTGCCAACATTGTATACACACTTTGAGACGGAGAAGGTATCTTGTTTGGTGATGGAGTTTTGTCCTGGGGGTGATCTGCATGCACTCAGACAAAAACAACCTGGGAAGCATTTTTCGGAGCATGCTGCTAGGTTAGATATTCCTTCATACTTCCCCTTTCAGTTTATTTTTTGATTAGGACACATACACATTTCAGTTTAGGTTACAATAGGAATCATATTTCAATAAAGCCTGCAGAGAAAAGGGAGGAGTAAACCTATAAACTAGAAGGACGTGAAGTGTTTTGCACGTTTATTTGCCTGTGCTGGGGACATGCTAAAGATAATAATTCTAGTGTGTTAATCTCCCGTTTGTTTTTTCAGGTTTTATGTGGCTGAAGTTCTTCTTGCCTTGGAATATTTGCATATGCTCGGGATCATTTACAGAGACCTCATACCAGAGAATGTTTTAGTGAGGGAAGACGGACATATAATGCTTTCAGATTTCGACCTTTCTTTAAGATGCTCCGTTTCCCCCACCCTGGTAAGATCTTCAAACTTAGGTTTGGAGACAAAGAAATCAGCATATTGTGTTCAGCCTGCATGCATCCAGCCGACTTGTGTAATGCAGCCGGATTGCATTACGCCCGCATGTTTTGGTCCACGCTTTTTCAAGGGCAAACCCAAGAAAGATAAAAATACCAAACTGAAGAAGAATGACAATGATGTATACAATCAAGTGAGCCCTCTCCCTGAACTCGTTGCAGAACCGACAAGTGCTAGATCAATGTCCTTTGTGGGAACACACGAGTACTTGGCGCCTGAAATCATTAAAGGTGAAGGCCATGGCAACGCTGTGGATTGGTGGACCTTAGGGATCTTTCTCTACGAGCTTTTGTTCGGAAGAACACCATTCAAGGGGGAAGGAAACCGGGCTACTCTGTTTAATGTGGTTGGCCAGCCTTTAAGATTTCCAGAGTCGCCTTCTGTCAGCTTTGCAGCTAGGGACTTGATCAGAGGTTTACTTGTCAAGGAGCCACAGCATCGTCTTGCGTATAGGAGGGGAGCAACAGAAGTTAAACAACATCCGTTTTTCCAAAGCGTGAATTGGGCACTAATTCGCTGTACAACTCCACCCCAGGTGCCAAAGCACTACATATTGGAGACTCCTGGCACACCGAAAGAACCAATAAACGGGAAGATGCCGGGCGTTGATTTGAAGCCTTCGGTTAATTGTTTAGAGATTGATTTCTTTTGATTCTTAGCCTTTGTTTTCCTCTGATGAAAAACGAGTCCCCAACTGATTCGTGTGGATGCCTACTTTGAAAAACCCGATTACGTATCGTCCGTCTTTCGACCTTACATTGCTCGGAACAGTCGAATAGGTCCGGCGAACAAGATGTTTTTCGATTAGGGTTGTAATTTGACACTGCTAAGTACAATTTATTAACTTACTTTCAACATAATTAATTGAAAGACCAACATAAGCAACACAAAGATGTATTAGCGGAAATGAATTTCGCACGCCTCTTTCCTTATGCATACATTCTCTACACTCCTTACTTAAATGTCATTCCTCCCCTACACTTTTTTTATTTTTCGTTGGAAAAGATACTTTATTCAACTGAAACAAGCATGACAATAGTAATACAATAGATTACGAAAGAGGCTCATTTCAAATTCAAACATGAAAAATCAAGAACAAAAGCGTCACCTTAAAAAAACAATCGTTGTTTGAAATCTACATTCTTTTATATTAAATTGTAGGGATCTGCTATTCACACGTTCTTTTAACGCTTCACACATACTTTTCTCAATTTTCACCTGTCAAATCAGAGGATATGTGCAAAATAAAAATTGTTGTATGGATTTCACCGCCTTAAATTGGATCATTAATTCACTTACAAAAGAAAATTTAATATTAGTCCACCTAAAAAAAAATGAAATCATTATATACTAAAACTCAATTTTCCTTCAACTTTGTTCATCACCGGTGTCCGGATGGAAATGCCCCTGGTTTTTTCTTTTCATTGCCATTTTGATGCATGCTTCACACGGTTAGATACTTGTGTTGCCCATGACTGCCACGTGTTGATCATCCCTTGTCCTCCAAGTTACGTGTCTATCCGAGTCTCCTGCAGAATGTGGCACAAAAAAAGATAAAATAATAATTAAAAAACTAACAAAAAAAAGGATGTAATATCGGCACATCCTATTTTACTTCTCACACATCTTTTTAATTTTCGGCTTTCAGCAGTCGGATTGGATGAATTGAAGAAGATCAATGAACAGAAATTATCAAGGGATGTGTGAGAAGTAAAATGGGGTGTGTACAGCACACCCCCAAAAAAAATAAAGAAAACTAATGAAAATGGCTTGAAAACTTTGAGTTTTAACGATAAGGAAAAAATAAAGGGTTAAGTGAATAGTACCAGGGTTAACTTTTTAGTGTAAAAATGTGGTTTTTCTTTAAAGTGAACAGTACCGTGAACTTTTCGTTAAAACTTCCAAAAAAAAAATATATGAGTTAAATCAGACCACATCGTTTGTGGCACACAACACAATAAAAAATTGTAAAAAAATTGAATGCATGGACAAAATAATTATTAAAAACTGTGAGAAGCCCACCTGTCTCCATTGCTTTGTCTTTTGATTATTTTACTTTTTAGGTTTGCTATGCTTTTTGTCTTCCACGCCGAGTCTCTTGCAGAATGTGGCACAGAACACATAAAAATATTATAAAAAAATGTGAAAGCATCGCTGAGTCTCCTGCAGAACGTGGGCACAAAGAAAGATAAAATCATAATAAAAAAACTGACAAAAAAAAGGATAAAATCTCAATTTACTATTTTAAAATTTCGTGGTTTTCAACATTTAGTATATAAAGTTTTTTTCGTTCCAGAGTCATATCTAAAATATTAATTTTGAGACAATCTTAAACATCTGTTAGTCTGACTGTTAAGTCTCCCGTTAACTTTTGAAGAGCCCATGTGAACAATAATTGTGAGTCACGTGTCATTAAAAAAAAATTAATAAAAGTATTAATAAAAAAAAAAAAAAAACCACAACCCGCTTCTTCTCCACCACTCGACACCCTCCACACCCTCCAACACTCCACCCCTTTCGTCTTCTCCACCCGAGCACCCCCTTCTCCCATCCCCCATCTCCAACCCCACCGAAGATGCCGTCACACAAGTCTTTCATCTTCAAGAAGAAGCTGGCGAAAATTGCTTTATGATTTTCATTCTGAGAAACAAATAGAAACATTTTATGTTAAATATCGGGAACTTCCATGGAGTCTCGTAAGGGAGATTGCTACATAAAATTGGTATTTGATGTGTAGTTCAATTTAATTAGTTTGGTTTGTAAAATAACAATCATCAGGAAGAAATAGATTGGGAGAGTTGAACAAGAAGAGAGAGATCGCGGATGTGAGAATCCAAAAGGCCGTTAATGAGGTCGCAGGGTGAGAATTGCAGAGGTCGCGAAGCGAGTCGAGCTCATTAGTAAATTGAACTACAAAGGGTTGCTCGGGTGGGCAAGGGGTGGGTGATGGGGGATGGGAGAAGGGGGTGGAGAAGACGAAGGGGATGGAAGGTGGAGGGGATGGAGGGGATGGAGGGTGTCGGGTGGGGATAAAGAAGTGCGTTCTGGGTTTTTTTTTTTTTTTTAAAATACTTTTTAAATTAATTTTTATTTATTTATTTATTTTTTAATGACATGTGGTGCCCAGTCAATGTCTGTTTTGTGTTATTCGTTTTTCCTAGGTTTGTGTTGCCATTTTCGCGCTGGTTCTACTTCAGGTATGTCGTTCTTCTTCTTTTTTTCTTTTTCTTTTTCTTTTTTTCCACTTATTTTTGCTTATTTTCTGTTCTTGAGTAAATCTGGTGTTTAACTTAGAGCGTAGAAAATAGGAAATAATGATTAAAAAATTATGTTTTTGGATGAATCTGGTGTTTAAATTAGAGTAGAGAATATAGGGAATAACGAAAAAGGAATGAAAGAGAAATTAGAAAATTTATGCTTCGTCTGACCAGGGCAAATGGAAAATATAGCTCCGACTCCTATCGATAAATTATAGCCGTATATAAAGATAAATTATAGCCGAATTTGCAGGATATAGAAACCGTCGATTCCCGGAGTTGTTCAAACATAAGCAAAGCAAGTGATTTATAATAAGTGACCTTTTCTTTATTCTTTATTGTGCTATAGATTGGATTTATCATTGTACATTTTTTTTAATTTTTCTGTGCAATTTTATAGTCGGATTTTCTGAAGTGTGCATGAAAATCATTTGAATGTAAGTTCTAATGAGAGCTGAACACTTGATTCACTTTGGTTTGGAAACGTGAGGATATAAGAGATTAGAATTAACTAAAGTTGTAAGCTGATAAGGATTTTGTATAAGAGAGGTTTCAGCAATGACAGTCACGATAGTGTTGGAACACTTGTAATGGATGTGAATGTGAAGTTTTGTCGGTGATAAGGTTAGATTGATTAGGATTGCATAACGGGAAGAATCCTGATCAATCATCATCGCATACGGTATAAAAACAAAGGGTCCCTGCGCTCTCTCAATCATGCAAACAAAGAAAACTCATATCCCATTCATTGAGCCATTGCATTCAGTGAGAAGAGCTGCAGAAGATCCTTAGTTTCAGAAAGATATGTCTTTTTCAGGTTAGTGATTAATTTGGTACTGTGATTATTCTGTTCCGCTGCATATGTTCTTATTACTCTTACATTTGGTATCAGAGCTTTCACATACCAATTAACCCTAAGAAGAAAGCATCAAGAATTGTTTTGTGTTGCAGATTAAAGAACTGATATATATATATACAGAGAAGGCTGTCTGTGAACACATGACAGCTAAAGCTGTCTGTGTTGACGAAGGTGTTATCAATACCAATATATATATATGTACATCAGTAATGGCACTAGGATTCAAAACATTGACACTGATCATCTAAAGAAGTTCAGTTGTTTATGTCTTGGATTCGAAGTGGCATAACACTTCATATATCAACGTGTGAATCCAGTCAGGTTTACAAATCATAAAGGTTTTTATTCACGACTACAGAAAACTCATACGTTGGATATGAAGGTGGTATGATTAAGAGAATTGCTTGCATGCTTCTCAATACAAAATTGTTAAGTCTGTGAAATAAAGATGGGGATTAAAGATTAATACTTTCATTCTATATGAATACAGCCATGAACCCAAGTTCCATGAATCTCAACACAGTTGAACCTCTCACGGGTGTCAACTATAAGAAGTGGAAACAGGATTTAGAGATACTTTTGGGTGTCATGGATATGGATTTGGCGCTAAGAACTGAAGAACCACCAACGCCAAATGAAGGATGCACTTCGATCCAAAGATCCAAGCATGAAAAGTGGGAGAAGTCAAACAGAATATGCCTCATGATAATCAAAAGGTCCATGACTGATGTAGTTCGTGAAGGCTTTCCAGAAGCAACTAATGCAAAGGAGTTCATGAAATCGATCGAAGAGAAGTACAAAGAATCTGGAAAAACAGAAACTGGGAACTTGATGAACTTGCTGACAACTATCAGATACGATGGTGAAGGGAGTGTCCGTGAGTACATTCTCAAGGTTATGGACATTGCAGGGAAGCTTAGAATACTCGAGGTACCTATTTCTGAAACATTTTTGGTCCATGTCATCATGAATTCCTTGCCTAGTTCTTATACTCAGTTGAAAGTATCCTATAATGCACTGCAAGCAAAGTGGGATGTCAATGAATTAATATCTATATGTGTGGGTGAGGAAGTGAGGATTAAGAAGGACAGGGCTGAAAAGGAAAAGGGTGAGTCGGTGTATTTTGTTCAAGGTTATGCAAAGAATACCAATAACAACAACCTGGATACTATCAAAAGGAATTCTGCCAGAAATATTCCTCCCTCTAAAAAGACCTTCAAAGTTAATAACTCATCAATTTTTAAGTGTTATTTTTGCAAAAAGACAGGCCATATGAAGAGAAATTGTCTTAAGTACAAGTCATGGCTTGCCAAACAAGAGGCAAAGAAAGGTAAAAATAATTTTTCAAATGTTTTTGCTTGTTTTGAATCGAATTTGATTGATACACCTAGCAGTGCTTGGTGGCTTGATTCCGGCTCTTCCATTCACGTCACAAATTCATTGCAGGACTTCATAACAAAGAGAACACCAAATAAGGATGAAGTCAAGGTTTCAGTTGGCAATGGAAGAAGAGTTGAAGTCAAGGCACTAGGGACTGTTAGATTAAAATTAGATTTTGGGTTTTGCTTGGAGCTAGAAAATGTAGTCTATGTACCTTCCATGAGAAGGAAATTAGTTTCCGTTTCTAAGTTAGTATTATTGGGATTTTATTTTACTTTGAATAATATTGGCTTCAATGTTTTTTATAAATCTTCTCATATTGGCACTGGATTCCTATGTGATGGTATGTTTAAATTCAAAACCAATTTGATTGAAAGTGTTTTTAATGTTGAAAAAGAAGTCAAAAACTCGAAAAATTCTTCAAATCTTTGGCATAGGAGGCTTGGCCACATATCAAAACAAAGAATGGAACTTTTGGTTAAAAATAACATATTGCCTCCATTGAATTTCAATGATTTTGATTTTTGCATTGAATGTGTCAAGGGGAAAATGGTTAATAGACGTAAAGAGGGATCAACTAGGAGTAAGCAGCTCCTAGAAATAATCCATACAGACATATGTGGTCCATTCCCTACACAAACAATCGAAGGAAATAAATATTTTATTACTTTCATTGACGATTATTCTAGATACTGCTACATATATTTGATCCCAGAAAAATCTAAAGCCTTGGAAGTGTTTAAAATTTACAAAACTGAAGTTGAAAATCAATTGGAAAAGAAAATTAAGATCGTAAGGTCTGATAGAGGTGGAGAATACTATGGCAGATATACACAAAATGGCAGGCATCCAGGGCCATTTGCCTTGTATTTACAAGACAATGGAATAGTTGCTCAATACACCACCCCAGGTACACCCGAGCAAAATGGGGTTGCAGAAAGAAGGAATAGAACCCTAATGGATATGGTAAGAAGCATGATTTGTAGGGTTCACTTGCCCAAATATTTATGGGGAGATGCAGTAAAAACTGCAAATTATTTGTTGAATAGAGTGCCTTCAAAAGCAGTTGAAAACACTCCATTTGAATTATGGACTGGCAGGAGACCGAGCTTGAATCATTTACACGTCTGGGGATGTAAAGCAGAAGCCAAAATTTACAATCCTGGTAGTGTTAAACTTGATCCCAAGACAACTAGTTGTTACTTTATTGGTTATGCCGAGAGATCAAAAGGGTTTAGATTCTACTGTTCTAGCAATCAAGGTCCTAAAATTGTCGAGACACAGAAAGCAGTATTTATGGAGCATAATTTGGATGTTGATTCTGGGACAAATGACAATGATTTTGTGTTTGAAGAGGAAAGAGACACTGACACTACTATAGAGCATGCAAAGACTTCTTATCTCGAGACACCAACAATGGCAAGTGAAATTCCAATGCACATGCATAATGACACGGAAGCAAGTGAAATTCCAATGCACATGCATAATGACACGGAAGCAATTGAATTTCCAATGCACATGCATGATGACACAAATGAAGTTGAAGGGAACATGAATTATGAGCAAGGAAACAATGTGGGAGCCACACCACCGATTGATAATGATGTTAATATCAATGGTGTCAATGAATCTATGGACACCGAAGCACTAAACATGCAAACACAGCAAGGGCAAAATGGTGGTATAGTTGAAAACCAACCCGTGGTCCTGAGGAAATCAACTAGGGTAAGGAAATCAACCGCCTTAGAAGATTTTATATACATGACTGAAGCTGCAGCCAACGATATTGATCTGTCAGAATTTGATGATCCCAAAAGTTTTAAAGAAGCAGTCTCAAGTTTGAATGCTGCCAAATGGATAGAAGCAATGGAAAGTGAACTGGGGTCGATGAAAAATAACGAAGTCTGGGAGCTTGTAGAGAAAACAGAAGACATGAAGCCAATAGGCTGCAAATGGGTATTCAAGACCAAAAGAGATTCGAAGGGAAACGTAGAGAGGCACAAAGCGAGACTTGTGGCAAAAGGGTTTACTCAGAGAGAGGGAATGGATTATAAGGAGACCTTCAGTCCTGTTTCAACAAAAGATGCATTTAGAGTTATTATGGCTATCGTTGCACATTTTGATCTAATCTTGCACCAAATGGACGTCAAGACGACATTCTTAAATGGTGACTTGGAAGAATGCATCTACATGAAGCAACCAGAGGGATTTATAGAAGAGGGGAATGAAAATTCAGTTTGTAGATTGAAAAAGTCAATATATAGGTTAAAACAAGCATCGAGACAATGGTATCTCAAATTTCATAGAATTGTTAAAGAGAATGGTTTTGTTGAGAATCCTTCGGATAACTGCATATACTTGAGGATCAGTGGGAGTAGCTTCATAATACTGGTCCTTTATGTGGATGACATACTACTTGCAACAAACACAGCTAGCTTATTGGATGAAACCAAGAAATTGCTGCAACAAAACTTTGAAATGAAAGATCTTGGAGAAGCTTCGTATGTTCTTGGTATTGAAATCAAAAGAGATAGGAAGAATGGATTACTGGGGTTATCACAAAAGGGCTACATCGACAAGGTTTTAAAAAGGTTCAACATGGCTTCTTGTGGCACTACTGAAATGCCAATTTCAAAGGGTGACAAATTAAGCAAAGAGCAGTGTCCCAAGAGTGAGTTGGAAAGAAGAAACATGGAAGGCAAACCATATGCCTCTCTTGTTGGAAGCTTGATGTATGCACAAGTGTGCACAAGACCTGATCTTGCTTTCACTATCAGTGTTCTTGGGAGGTTCCAATCAGACGCAGGGGAGGCTCACTGGAATGCAGCCAAGAGGGTATTGAGGTACCTTCAAAGAACCAAGGAACATATGCTTATTTACAGGAAAACTGATGAGCTTGTGTTAGAAGGGTATAGTGATTCAGATTTTGCCGGATGTCCAGATGACCTTAAGTCTACTTCGGGTTATGTTTTCACTATGGCATGTGGTGCAGTTTCGTGGAGAAGTGTGAAGCAGGCAACAGTGGCAGCCTCTACCATGGTGGCTGAATATCTCTCATGTTGTGAAACTGTCAATCAAGCTATATGGTTGAAAAATTTCATTGCAGGGCTTAGTGTAGTGGATTCTATTTCGAGACCAATTCAAATTTATTGTGATAATAATGCAGCTATTTTCTTCAGCAAGAATAATAAAAGATCGTCTGCAACAAGGAATTTAGATATCAAATATTTGATTGCTCGAGAGAAAGTAATGGCAGGATTGGTGAAGATTGATTACTTAGAGACCGGTTCTATGATTGCAGATCCTTTAAACAAAGCAGTTCCAGTTGTGGTTTTCAAGAAGCATGTTGCAAAGATGGGTCTGTTAGCTAGCTTTGATGATGTTAATTAGTGGGAGCAAGGAAAATTTTGAACGTGTTTTGTTATCAGTCACTAGTTCACATGACTGGTATTTATGAGTAAGTATTAATAAAGTTTTCTTCATTGATAAGGTTTCCCCACTACTGAAGTCTTAAAGCTGTGAGGTTGTTTCAAAGTTTTCCCTCTAGATGCACAGCTTTAATTATGACAATACGTGCATACTTGTTATGCATAATGGTTTTGACAATATGATGATTGTCAGTAGGATAAACAACCAAAGGGTTTCAATATGAAACATTAAGATGAATTGATCTGTCGATTCTTAAGGGGACTAAGTGCAGGATGTGACAAACTATACATCTACAGACACATTTTACACAAAATTTGCATCTTGTGGGAGTTCAATGTGTTAGTTAGTTTTGTGAATGTAATTATGGGGATATCGTTCGACAAATTGAACATGCTACCCTTTAGTTCTTCATGAATACTAATTAATGACCTGAACTTGTATTCGTGATTCAAGTTGGTACTGATCTCGTGGCCATTTAAGAATAGCTTCACATAAGGCCAGCTGCCGTTGAATCAAGTGTTAGCTCTAGTGGGAGAATGTAAGTTCTAATGAGAGCTGAACACTTGATTCACTTTGGTTTGGAAACGTGAGGATATAAGAGATTAGAATTAACTAAAGTTGTAAGCTGATAAGGATTTTGTATAAGAGAGGTTTCAGCAATGACAGTCACGATAGTGTTGGAACACTTGTAATGGATGTGAATGTGAGGTTTTGTCGGTGATAAGGTTAGATTGATTAGGATTGCATAACGGGAAGAATCCTGATCAATCATCATCGCATACGATATAAAAACAAAGGGTCCCTGCGCTCTCTCAATCACGCAAACAAAGAAAACTCATATCCCATTCATTGAGCCATTGCATTCAGTGAGAAGAGCTGCAGAAGATCCTTAGTTTCAGAAAGAAATGTCTTCATCAGGTTAGTGATTAATTTGGTACTGTGATTATTCTGTTCCGCTGCATATGTTCTTATTACTCTTACATTGAATGCTAAGAACCTATTATATTCGCAACATGATACAAGAGATCAACACCTTCATCCATATGTAAGTTTCTCTAATAAATACTTTGGACAAATGCTTTATGAATTTGAGTTTTTATCTTCTGATTATTTGTTGCAAATATCGTATTAATTTTCCTTTGACTCGGAATTTAGAGGCTTAAGGTACAATGTTATCAAACTCAATTTTTCTAATTTTCTGATTTTGGGGTACTGCAGGGAGTGCTAATATACTGTTTTTCTGAGATTTTTGGTCTTTAAAATGGCTATGTTCTGTTTTTAACGTTTCGGTTCTCCCGTGTTCTGTTCTTTTATTCTGTTGTCTGCATGCTTTTGCTTTGGTTCTTAATTTTCATTTTTCAACTTTGGGTGATAAAAATTTGTAAAAATAGTTGTAGTTTCTGAAAAAGTTGGGGGTTTTATTTATATTTCTTGTGTAATCCCAATTGTAAGACTGAAAAAATAATTGAAATGATGTTTTTTTTTTCTTTTTTCAATTTCTCTTAAATGTTTTTTTCTTGAATTTAAAAGCATATTTCCCGATTGGTTACAATGGTTATGTTCTCTCTAATTAGTTCTTTTATATTCTCTTCCAACTTGTTTGTCTAATTTTATTTTTCATTTTTTTGATGGCTTTCTGAAGAAGTTAGCATGAGATTTTCATATGACATGGATGACGAGTATAAGGAACTCATCTGTGGAATGAACCCACCAAGGTATGTGCAAAAATCATTCCTTGGGTTCATAGATCTTATTTCTTAACCGTAAAAGAACCAGCCAATAGCTTTCCTTCAATTTGAAAAAAAAAAAAAAAGCACTAATTAGGCCACTATAACTACCTGCTTGTTGTACCGATGGTGCCATCAGTACAGCAGCTCCCTTTTCCATCTTAATTTAAGTCTCAAGACTTGCTATCTCTCCTTAACTCTCATCTGTCATCTTTCATCATCTCTTTCGTATCCCTTTTCTTTCCACTTTTCTCTCCATCTGCCCTATTACTCAACGGAAAGGAAACGGAGAGTCTCTCAGGTAAATTATTCCCGTAAATATTAAGTTTATCCTCTTCCCCTTGTCGCTATTTCTTTCCTGCTAGGTACAAGAAAAAGGTCAGGCGGTGCCTTCCTATCTGATGGCTTGAAGATAGCCATTAATACTATAACATAAAAAAAGTCTTAAATCTTCATCTCATCTTCCAGGCTGCTTGGAGGTGCTTTCATGGGTATCAAAATGAGCACCCAGATAACTAAAGAGGAAAAGGAAGGTACAGTTGCAACCTTTTCTCACACTTAAGGCATACATATTCCTGAATCTTTCAGTTTAGGCCTTTAACCAAAATATTGGAGAATTGATCAGCGTCTGATAAATAATCAAATTAAACAATAAAACCTAAAGTAGCTCCTTCTGCATTGCGAATATAGGAATTATCAATTCATGTTTGCCTATCCTACCACATTGGTTCACTTGCACCATCTACATATCAAGCTATATGCTGCTCTTTGTTTTATCAAGCTATACTTACACACACAATTATGTAAAAGGTACCCGTGTATAATCCAAGCTTCAGACTCCAGACCGCAGTAAGAGTCTCTTCCCCTGCAATTGTAAGTAGCCAACTCCCGTGGTAGCAACGGCAGCATTACGCATCTTCAAACCTTTAGCTTTCTGCAAAGTACAGGGAAATCTCCTTCTTCTGCACTGTGGTGACCAGTTTTACCTTCTTCTCTTTCCTGATTGGGCGCATCTTCCCTTTCCTCTCTCCTTTCTCTTCTTTTCTTTTCATCTCAGCCGTCCACGTGTCACTTTCGCGCCAGATTTTGCTAGAGCCTTTTGGAATTGAAGGTTAAATTTACTAAAATGCCCCCGACTTTAAACATTAATAACTCATTCGTTATAGGTCCAAATTGCAATTCGTTTGCGGTCACGCGTTTGTATCAATACATACTATCCAAATATGTAAAGAAATCTGAAAAATTATGAAAGGATCAAATACGTCCCCGAAAATTCCGTTTAGTTCATTAAGGGCGTTTTCATCATTTTACTTATCGAAAAATTTATACGCTGCAAATATATAAGCGTTGAAACTACGAATACGAAATACGTAATTTTAAATAGTGAACCAACATGAGCAATGCAATTTATTTTCCTAGTTTAGACTAAAGTAATTTATGTTTCGACTTCACCTTTGATTACGAGATTATGTTGAATTTACTGACCTAAATTGACAATTAGATATGTGTTAGCTTTTGAAATTAGTTCTAGAAATTGAATTTAATGACTCAATTTACGACTAATTCCTTGCCTTACAAGGAATTAAAGAGTGTTAGGTATTTATTTCTTGTAAATTCCTTTTTCTGATTCTGGGATTGTTTCGTTTCTTAATCAAAGGGGCTTAAAAGAGTCGGATGTGGACAACTTTGTTGATGATGTCCTTGTGAATCACAAACCATGGGCTTCTGGAGTGCAAGAGCCATTGACTAGCCCCCATGTACTTGTATGCGCACATATGAGTCGAAATGAAATGAATCGTTATCATGCACGTGTTCTCATTGATAAGTTCAAAGAGGAGGCTGAGCTGCGAGGATTGACGAATCAGGTACTTGTTACTGCTTGCTATCACATTGGCCACAAGTATGCTAGAAAACTCAGTATCTACATCCCAGATTCAGATGGAAGCATGACATGCCATTGGTAATATCCGGATCATAACAATTTTAAATTTATCGGGTTGGGATATATAAAAGAGTTTGAATATTATGTATTATTAATTGCAGGTATCCTGTCGTCATTCTTGATGATGTGCCGAAATTGCTTGATCAACATATTGGGAAAGGAGAGATTATAGAACCACATTGGAGGTTTGTACGTTTTTGGTTTTGCCTACTGCCTTTGGATGAAAATTTCACCGGACGGAAGCTTGTGCTGTCATATTTTTCAATTGCTGATTATGTATAGTCTTGTATGATAGATTAATTGATATAGAGTTACATTAACATCGAGGATTGAATATAACTGCATTACCATGTATATGTTTCTGATTTGTAATGTTGTTGTGGTTTGTTTATTAAGCTCGATCATACCTGATCTTACTCATTGCTATTGACAAAACATAGAGTTGAATCTTTAAATAGCTGAACACGAAATTCAATTTCATTCCTTACAGGAGCCAAATGGGAGCATCTTCTAATGAAGCTGAAGAAATTAATGACCGGGAGCTTCCAAATGGAGAAGAAAAGAAGAAAATCGAGGAGCCCCAAGAAACCACAGAGGCGTGTGCCAGGACGGATGCCTTAGGGAAGCTGTCAAGCTTGATCAGGAACTGGAAGCAAAACAATGTTCTCACAGCTGCTGCAGTGGTTGGAACAGTGGCAACAGTGACCGTGGCCTATAGCTTTTTATATAAGGTGAGGCTGAAACGTATTCTAATCCATGTCGGATTTTGCCATGGGTGTAAAGGCCCTTCTTTCTATTCTTTTTTTTCTTTGTAGAAAGATGTTATAACGTCGATTAAATAAGCTCTTATACGAACGGAGAATATGGTAGCTGCACTATATGTTCTTTTTCGGAGGGTTTGATGAATTCCCGAAGCTAAGAAAAATGGCAATCAAAGGTGGACGAAGCGGAAGCGAGAATGTCAGCTTGAGTAACACAAACATTGGTGAGAATTCAATGGCCCGAAAACCTAAGGGTCCTCCACAAGGTTCGTCCACTAAGGGTGAGTCAGGACCTAAGATCAGGCCGAAAGGCGTAGTCGACAATAGGTGAATATTCCTGTACTACCCCTTGTTGGTCCCGAGGGATAGAGGAAGCACCAAGAAATCTCAATTTTGTTGTTTATGAATTTCAAAAAAGAGAAAACGGCATTGTTGTCCTCGTTATTTGTTTAATAAACTAGATAAATGACTTTGTGCTAACATCTTAATCTGCTTGAACTATTTTCCAGATATATACAGCATTGTTGTTACGAATTTTACTTTCGTTCTAGAATAGGTTTTTCTTTTTTATATTTTTTATTACTGTGGTTCTCAAACTCAATCTCATGTGGTACTTCAATTATATCCGTTAACTTAATTTATTTTTCTGTTAAATATAGAGGGCATATCAAGGATTTTGTACATCCACCTCCTTTTTTTTTCTTTCCATTTTTTAGGTTGTGGGATGAATTTTAAGTTTATCATCTCAACTTAACACAAAAATAGATGAAGTTGACATAAAGGATATTAAAAAAAAAAAAAAAAAAAATAGTCATGCTGTAGCGAGTTTGAAGATCATGTAACATATGCATTGATAGTATTACCAATTCACAATAGTCATAATTGTCCTAGAACAATTTTGTTGCATGATAGCCTCTGTCTCTGCCCTCCTCGTATTGTTGCTTATACAAACTTTGCACGCCGTGTTGTATAAATGGAACGTGGGGGATGTATTTGGTGGAATTTGTCGCTCTTGAAATGTTATTCACTACAAGAAAAATGAGCTTTGGGTACAAAATAAAGGGCACAATTGAGAATTTTGTGTCAGTTTGACCACCAAAAAGCTTAAACAATTCTCATTCCATAGAGGGCACCATCTATTGTGCCCAATGTTAAAAAAAACAGACACAAAACAGTAATGGGCATGGAAATCGTGTCGAGTGGGATCACATGACAACTTTTTTACTGAAAATGGGCACAAAAAATATTTTGTGTCTATAAAAATTATTTGTCAAAGGCACTATATGTTCTCTCTCGTTTTTCTTTACCTCCACTAGCACACCAATAATTAAAATTTATAAAATTGTGGTAAATAATGGTATGAAGCTGTTTATTAGCGTGCAATATTTTAGTCTAAAAATAAGTTAGCAATAATGTTGTTCAAATTTGTTTTTCCGAAAGCTGAACCTCAGATCTCTCACTTACAAGTAAAGAAGAATACCACTACACCATAGTACTAAGTGGCATGTTTTAGATTTACAAAGGATCATTTCCAAGTGCAATGAACGTTTGTTAGATTCGTATCTTTTTGAATTGCTTTTTGGATTGTTATTTTCTTGCAGGTTTGTTTTTTATACTTGGTGATATGGTTTTTGGTTTTAAAGTCCTACCTGCAGTGACACATAACCAACAATTGTGCCCTTAGGGTTGGTCTCTGTGCAAAAGTTAGTTGGTCTTCAGATAGACAAATGAGTTAATAATTGTAGATTCCTTTTTATGACACTAATGAAAGAAATTGTGTCCACTAAATATTAATAAATAATAAATCACTCTACTTCTCATTGGGTCTTCAAATAGAGAATATATTTTAATAATTATAAATTCCTCTTTTCTGACACAAATGTTAGAAATTGTGTCCAGTAAATATTAATAAATAATAAATACTCTATAGCAAAAGAATATGTTGGCACAATTATGGATTTGTGCCTTTATTCTACTATAAAACGTCCACACACTCCCTTACTAATTTGTATATGGAAATTAAGAAGGTTGCTTCATACACATATGTTTCTTTTGAATTTGAGCAAGTTCTACATCATTGACAATGGCGGACAGGCGACGTCGTGGAGTTAGAATTGGAACTGAATCTCCAGCATCACATTCGTATATTGCTTCCAACATTACAACAGAAAATTCCACAATGAATCCTCCAGTTCAACGTCCACGACAACCTGTTAATGCCGAGCGCATGCCTCGTCCTTTTAATAATCAGTACATTCTTACTACTTTTGTTGATGGTCGCCTTGGCTACGCATTACCCTTCAATAACGGATGCGTACGCGCACCTCAAGGACGTGTATTGCCAGCATGGGCAAACCCAGGTAGGACAGAACAATATCCTGTCAATTTGGTTTCTGCTGAAACAACAACTGAACAGTCTACCAATTCTGTCGTTATTATTGAAGAACCACGCACTTATCAAGCACAAATTCGTCCTAGAGGTCTGTCTGTCCCACAGTTGAGCTCACGAAATATGCAGAATGTTACCGTTGAGATTTTAAGCAGCGATGACGAGGACAATTAATATATTTTGTATTATGTTATATTTCATTGGTGTACTATGAAAATATAACTATCTTATGCTATGCTGGACTCCTCTTGGGTCCTTTTATCAACTTATGTCGTATTCCAATATAATAATGTTTTCTTTCTAATTAACCCTTGTAGATTTACTCCTAGTATATATTTTTTTAGGTTATAATTATGTTTCTCGTCCGCTTCATACCGCAGAATTCAGTGAATTCACAGCGTGGCAACACAAAGGTTATGAGACATTATTACATTAGTCTAAAGAAGGCTTTTCAATTGCACTGTACAAATGAATAGTCTTTGGAGTCGAATTTCACTTTATTTACGAGGCTGCCACTGACTCTCTCTGCCGCTGATCTTCATGCCGCTGGATGGTGATCGTGGAAAGGCAGCGGCGCGATGGTCATTTTAGTCTGTAGGGTTTCGAATGGGTTGGGTGGGTTAGCGACTTTCATTTCCTTTCTTTGTGAGCTGCAGTGGGACTCGGTGAGAGCATGCTGTCGGGAGAGAGAGCGAGCGAGCAGAGAGAGAAGAGAGACAGGGAGGGAGAGAGAGATTTGGTGAGAGCAAGGCATGCGGCTTGCAGGCAGATAGAGTCACTGGGGGTGTACGATTCGAGGGAGAGAAAGGGGTTGGTTTCGAAAGCTCTACCTAGGGTTGTTCCTGCAAGATGTCAACAGCGTTTTCCCTCTTCTCCACTATTTTCCTTCATTCCCTTTTCTCTGAACCATAAAACTAGATTCCTCTTCCGGAGTCTCTCCCAGTGTGGAACCCCCACCACCACCAGGCGCCACAGCTGCGTTAAAGGTTTGCGTTTCACATCAACGGCATCTCCCTATAACCTAGGAGCTTGGTTCGGATCGGGCGATTCCGGAGGCCCTGCCATCGAGGTTAGTCTGAAGTGATTCCTATCTTGTTCACTTATTGCATGTCAAAATCTGCTTCAAATTTGTGATTTAATATAATTGGGCTTTAGAAAAAAAAATTCTTGATTTTGTCTAATCCAATTGAATGATTAGAAAAATTTTCATTAAATTTCTGGGTTCCCGAGGGGTTCTGAATCGTGATGTTGAGAGAGCTTGGTTGCTTAATTGCTAATGAAATTAGCATCTAAACGTTCATAATTTGCCTTTTTTATGTTCATTCTATATTTTCTGTGAGTTCAAATATATTTGTTTGTTTGTTTGGGTTTTTTGTGATATATTGCCGATGCCAAAATATCATATTTACAAGGACAAAGATAGAAAGGTTCTAAATCAATTTTTTATCCTGGTTTTGCTGCTGGGTTCACTATCAGTAAAAGGCACATGAAATATGGTATTGATTTCAGAGGCTTTGATTTCTCAGAATGTCTTCATATATCGAATGTCATCTGAATTTAGTTGTAGTTGATTTGTCAAAGTTTGTTGTTGTTTAGCTTTTTCAAATGGCAGTCTTAGTATTTGCCCAGTATTTTTTGTGAATTCCAAATTTTGCTTATAATTGTAGGTATGTAAAAGCTGCCAATTGGATTTGTTCCCCAGATGATAATGGCATACTAATATAATGGTTGTTCTTTTGCTTTGATGTACGAGTAAGAAGATTGTTTTGCCCCTTATGTATCCTGCTTCTTTCTGTTCCACGAAGTTGCTAGGAAAAAAAAAAGTACTTTGTGATCGTTTTCTTTCTTATGGTGAGGTGTAGATGAAATCTGTCTTTTTTTCTTTGTATCAGCAACCTATTACCCCTTCATGAACATGTTCAGTTAAGACACTTTTGATTTTTCTTCTGTTTAATTTCTCATCTGATAGGTTCAATATTAATAGAGTCCAATTAACATCCATATTGGAATGACAATCGAGAAATGCAATGACATACTTCTAATTCCATCCTCATTAAGTGTCTTAGTAACAATCAAGAATTGAATGACATACTTCTAATTCCATCCTCATTAATCAAGAATCGGATGGTGTAAGGTTATGCACTTGCTTTGGATATGACTGCCAGAGAAATTCAAGCTTCTGCTAAGGTAATTATCGATAATCAGATTGTTTTGATGCGATCAAACACGGTAGTGAAATGTTCAATTTTATGGCTACAAGTGTCTAATTAGAATGCTAATGATGCAGTTCATGATAATGATATGTTCTGATTTAAACAGTTACTGCAAATGTATTGTTGCTATGTGATGAATGAGTTATCTTTTGCATATAAGACTTTTCGTTTCTCGATACTAAGTCTAAAATAGAGATTTCAGAGCAAAACATTGATCCAGTATAAGCGAGTTGTGATTTTGTAGTTTATTTATGTTTCCAGATAAAATCTACAGAGATTAGAAAGAGAAAAAGGGCAAAGGAAAGCTATGGTGACTCTTGAAAGATGGTTCAAGTCTCTGTTGGAGGTACATTGGATTTATGTTTATTATGTGTTTAGTTCATTGTTTGGACTATAGATTTGGTTTGAACTCAATGTTGTCCGTGTATATAAATATATCTGTGTAAATATATTTTTGTGTGAATATATGTGTGCATATAGATTTATACATTGTTGGGACTAATAATGTTTGTGCTGTTGGTATTTTCGATTGGGATTGGGGGCTAATAAGGACTAGGGATGTTGGATAGTATCTTAATTTATATGGGAGTTGATTTTTTCTTCTCTGTGAATCAGGATTGACAATTTCATTTTGCATAGGCCATACCGATTAAAGATGCTATGGTGTTGTCAAAAGATAAACCTGACATATAAAGTTGGATATTTAAAAGTTGCCTGTTTTCTGTTTAACCATTTTGTTTTTCCTACTTCTTTAGTTTCAATTCTTACTTTTGACTACTACTTTTAAGATGTTGTTTTGGCTAGACTTTTGGATGAGGCCACGATCCTGCAAAGATATAATTTTCTCTTCTTTTACATAAGATATTGATTTTTTTTGTCATTCATCGCTTTGAAGATTGCATTTGATCTGCTTGAGCATAATATTCTGATCTCAAACCACTTTCACAAAGCTGATTTATTATCTACACGTGTGCTATTTTCATTTCAAATTGTGACTGCTATTTTGCTTTTCCTATTCTCATATTCCTAACAAGTGACCTATGAAATTTATTGCCTATATCTTTTCAAAGCACTTCAGGTATAAATTCACCACACACTTCCTTGATGGGAGAATCAGACCATTGAGTGGGCTATACGACTAACAGTTGCTCTGAACATTGCCAAAGCATTAGATCACTGCAGCAGCGAATGCCGCCCATTGTACCATGACTTAAATGCATATATGTTTCTCTTTGATAAGGTGTTGTCTCAAATTTCCTTTCCCAAACGATAATTAATAAAATAGAGGACCAATTAAGTCTTTGAAAAACAAAATTCTTTGTCTACGTTGCTGAGTATTTGGAGCTTGCAGCTCTCATTGGTTATTATATTGGATTGAGTTAAACTTGGATTTCTGGATTTTGACTTTTCCATTTGTTTCTCTGTTGCAGAGTTGGCTTCATTTCAGTCCAGTAACTCTCTAAATAGGTCCAATAACTCACTAAATAGGTAAATCGAGAAGAATTCAGCGTTGCACGCCTTTTTTGGTATGCTGTTTAAATCTGTCTGTCATTTTGTTCATTCTTCATGTTTAACTTTGTTCTGCAGGCTTCATATGGCTAACTTAAGCATTTAAGTTATTCATTTGTTAAAGATGTTTGCTATTTTGGAACAGTTTGAAAGTTAATGCATGACTCGAGGATGACTTTTAGCTTATCCCACTTATCTTTCACGCTCTCACTTCATTCATGTGCTGAGTCATGGTTTAACTGTCTAAATTCAAGAACTAAAAATGGCCAGCAGGCTAAAAAGTGATTAGATTTTGAGATGCATATTTTGGTTTCTCATTATTTCTTTGTTTTCAATTTGTTCCTTTTATTCTGTCTGCAATTTTTAATCTGTGGTTATGCATCAATTTCTCTGCTTCTTCTTTATAAATCTTGCAGGTCAGGACAACACACTTATCGGGGCAATGTTGGGATGTTTAGGCTTGGGTGGAGACATGGACTTTTGGAAGAGGTGAATTAGCTTAGCTCTCTGTCATTAGCTTTATCTGTTCTATGCATCTCTACAATCTTACAATGCTCCTTTATTAAATTGCAAGATGTTGGGACCCGTTACTGGAATACAAGATTTGGAACCAAAGTGGTTGACAATGCTAGAGTCGAAAGCAAGTGTGAAATTCACATTGAAAATGACAGGTGAGAATGCTAATCATATTCCAAAAAAATGTTGGGCTTCCTGATGAGATCTCTAGCCGAATTCAAGAGGCTAATTTAGTGATTTGGAGTTAATTTTGTGAATTTATTGAATGAAGTTATTTATTTTTAGCTTATCTTGCGTTTGCTTTGGTTTTAGGAGAGGGTTGCGCATGATCTGTAGTTTCAATCAACCTCGCTGTTTTCGTTAGAATCACAATTAAAGGTCAGTTTTTCCGACATTTTTTTTTCTTTTTGCTGCATGTTTATGTATGGTTGGTCTATGAGAATACTGGTTAGTTGTCATCAAGCAGCCCTTGTAGATGTGTATTTTGTTTATATATTGCTAGTTTAACCATTAGTACGTTTGACTTGGGGATACAAGCTTGGATATGTTATATTTTGTTGTATATAGAGAATCCCGGGTATGTCCAGCATAGGATAACATGTATTTTTTGGTTTAACATTTGGATGGGTTGTATTGTTAGGTTGCATGAATCGGTCTTAGCCGAGAACATGGGTTATGTAATATATTAACTTCACTATTTTAGTGCTAATGTTGATTTATGTTTAGTTTGTAATGGATGATTTGTAAGTTTCTAAATTTAGGTGGAAATTAGGTTCTATGAGCAACCTGATGATTTCCATGTTTAAATAAAAATATCCAATTATGCCACAAATTTTTAATTGTGCTGGAGTTTTATTGTATTTATTAAAATATAATAGTGGCACAATTTTAAAGTTGTGCCCTTGCTTTAACATTTATACAGCAATCTAAGCCTTTAAAATAGCAATTGTGCCCATCTTACACCATACATTCAGTAGCCTTTATTAGAGGTAAGACACAATAAGGGTTGTATTTGTGCTTAGCTTTGGGCACAAAACATCATATTGTGTGCTATAAGTAATGGTGACGCCCATAGAGGCCACAGATACAAACTTAGTTGCTGCACTGTTGCTATTGGTCTATGAGCACAAATGTTGGTGCTTTTTGGCCTCAAAAGGCACATATAATTTTTTGTGTGCAGTGCTCATTTTTTTTGTAGTGATTCCTTAATGGTTAACCTATGTCGTGAGAGAGGAAGAAAATGTCAAATTCGAAGTGCCACCAAGTTTTGATTATATAGGAGGGTTGGCTGTGTGCATCGTTTATTCAGCGAACTTATTTTTCCATCTGGTGATTGGATGCCACCATAACTGATTCCCAAGAAGATTATCTTTAGCTGGGCAGTCTTTCAAATAGGAAGCTCAATCTGAAAAGTGACGACAAGGTTTGTGCGCATGTAGAATTTTTTGGAACTGAGGATGATCATCAAATTAAGGTGAAGAAAACAGGAGTGAATTTTGTAGGATGGGAACATGTTGACCTCCATAAATAAATAAAATGTGGACTATGAGCGTGTGCCATATGATGATACTGATGAGGAGGACTATTAGACTATACCATATGAGTTTGATGATGACACTGACAACGGTAAAAAGTTCAACGATCACTCAGCTGATGAGGTCTGCAAAATATTAAGGTTTGATCTCAATATTGAAAGCTTTGACGATGAAGAAACAACAGTTAATGGAAGGAAAGCGCAGTAAAGAGAATTGTAAGGAAGGTACATAGACATTTACTACAAACTGCCAAGTAACTGATGCAATTATGAAGCACGAAGCAACTTGTTTATAAATCTCACCCAATCAGGTTATTTTTCTCTATCTTTTTCCTCTGTAAAGACGATGAAAACATGTTTTTACTTCTCAATTTCATTGTTTCTAAGAGTAATATTGGAGGTTGGGGCCATGCTCGCTAGTTAGGGGTCTCTTAAAGATTTTCCATATGGCTCAAAGAAGTGGTTCATGGAGAAGCATACGCCATTTATTTTTCTTTTCAAATGGTTTTTTAGAATGTACTTGAGTTTCTAATAAAAATTTCAATGTGGTTATAATAGAAGCACTTCTAGCTTAGGCACTTTCTAGAGAAGCAATATCACGAGTCCTTAATTACACATAAGTAACTTATCATCTTATCAAATATAAACTAATGATTTCCAATTTGATCAGTGACATTAGTGAAATTTACATGTAAGTGTGTTTTACACACCATTAATTAGAGACATATCTTAGGGGGTGGCTTGAGCCTTGAGTGTACTATAAACCACCTCATTTCAAGGAAATTTCTCTCTTCACCTATCGTAGATGTAAGGGTTCTTGCCTGTTACGTGTGAAAGAGGCAATCATGGAGCAACAAGAAATAACATTTTTCTCCGCAACCAGAACAAGCTAGCAGCGGTTTTGACAGAGCCCATCACCAATGGATTAGTTAAAGGTACATCAGAGTTGAATCCGTTCCCAACAGCAACACCATGCCCACGACTTTCAAGTCCAAAATAAAAACTGAGCACAAGCAGAGATAGAACTAACAAGCGTATTATCGTCAAGGTTAACATGTTTGTGCAATAAGTGGTTAGAGTTATGTTCTGCAATTGAGAACATCAAAATTTTTTTAAATGCCATATGAACTTACATACTTTTTTATTTTTCAATTTGTCATTTAAACTAATTTTCAACTTTTAAGACTCAATCCACCTGATCCTGAAATGTTGGTATGTGTCTGCATGGGACGTGACGAGATATATACATATCCCACAACTAATGAATTGTAGGCCCTGGCAGCCCTGCATACTTCTATCTACTCAGCTGAACCTGTTTTCAGTCACGGGCGGATATCCGTGTAAATTACTTACCATGTAGTCGGTGGTGATGAAGGGATCGTTGACAGCAACGAGTTCAACATCGCAGAAGATGTTGTTCTTTACTGTGGAGGATTGCCCCTAGCTCAGAAAGTTGTTGGCCATTTGTTGGCTACGAAAAATAGTAGATGCATCTGGAAAAGTACATTGAATAAATTGAGAAATATTTCATATGAAAAAATTCATGAAACGCTTAAATTAAGCTACAATGGGTTAAGTACCGATCATGGACGAGCACAAAAGCCGAATGCTCTCTCTGTGCTGGATTTGCCATTGTTCGATGAGAATAGACGCTTCAGATTAACCCGTTTGGTTTTTATTTATTTTTTAATTAGTTTTATTAAAACTTAACAGTGTTAGATGTGGGTATAAAATAAGAGACACGTGTTAAAAAATTAAACAAGAGACACAAACGGGACACGAAATCCGGGACAGCAGACCTCAAGCCATATACATGTATATTCATATCGCTCCACGCATTTCGTTTCTCTATAATACTTAGGCGATGACGTTTGACTTGGCTTTGGCTATCTGAAAGCCAAGCCGCACGGCCTGTTGCACTCCCTCTAGTCTCCCAACGCTAGTACCAATTATTGATGTATACCATCAGTTCCGCCCATGGAACCGCCATCGCAGCCTCTTCGTCTTGCCCGTGCTGCTCAAACCGCTGGAAGAACGAGGTGTTCCTGAGCTTTAGAGGCGACGACACGCACTACCTTCACAGACCACCTCTCAATTGTGTTACGCAATGTCAGAATCAACACATGCATAGACTACCAGCTCAGAAGACTGGAAAACATACATAGTGAACTTGACCAAGAAATCAAAGGATCGAGGAATACCGTCGTCTGTCTTCTCAAAGAGGTACACAGAGTCCGGATGGTGTCTGTAGGAGCTGGCCAAGATCATGAGGGGCCAAGAAGATCAAGAGGGGAAAGTAGTCTTCCAATATTGTATGACGTCGACCCTTCTCAAGTGAGGAAACAGTGGTATTTTTGGAAAAGCATTTCGGGAGCACGAAAGGGATGAAGATCCAAATGAGGTCGAGTAGTGGAGAAAGGATCTTAAGGCTTCTGCAGATTTGGGTGGCCGGAATCTTAACAAACGTAGTCGATTCATGTTTTATCGCCAATTCATGTAATTAGTCCGCATCATCTATGTCATCAACGATGACAAGCATCTTCATGCTTCCAAGTCTTTTCTCTATCTCTTTGGTTCCTTTGGCAACATTGCTCACATTAATGTCCACCCGTTTCAAAACATCTCGAAGAAGTTGTTCTTGCAGAGCAACCATACTTTTCTTTTTTACTCCTCACCTTTTCAAGGTAACATTGACCACTATAACAACGATGATATTCGCCACAAATAGCTCCTGCATGCGTCGTTTTACCTAACCTTCCATAACCCAAATTCCAATTATTTGAAAGTCAGGTGAACCTCCAACGTCTAAGTATTCAGTACTAAATTTTTGCACGCTAAAATCCATTCCAACTAGAGCACTTGACTTGTTTTAAGTCTCTTGTTTTCAGTCGTTCCCCGACGTCCCCAACAATTTTCTCGATAGACAATCCTTCACGTCTGGCAATTAAAATTCAAAATTATACAAAAGTGAAATTCATCATGCAACTGCAAGAGTCATATGAACTAAATGCCTCATTCATCATGACCAGATATTTTCAGAGCAAAGAAGATTTGAGTAAATTAGATTGATCCAAGTGATTTAACTACGCTAAATTTCAACAACGTGTCGAAGATCAAATTCTACTTTCTTACTTTTTTGTCATACTTCGAATTAAATTTTGCAAAATGGAATTAAGGATGCAGAGACCGACGTATAAATAAATTAAACAAAATAATAAGAAATTTTAAGAAATTATACCCGTCCGCCGAGGTTTTAAGATTCTGGCCACCCAAATCTGAAGAAGCCTTGAGATCCTTTCTCCACTGCTCGACCTCATCTGAATCTTCATCCCTTTCATGCTTCCAAAATGCCCGCAAAACCACCACTCTGTTTCCTGACGTTAGAAGGATCAACGTCGTAGAATATTGGATAGACTATTATGCCCTCTTGATCTTCTCGGCACCTCATGATCTTCGACAGCTCCCTCGGCCTCAGGCACCATCGGAAATCTGGGTACCTCTTGGAAAAGACGACGACGACGGCGATCCTCGACCGTACGATTTTTCGGTCAAGTTCGCTCTGTATATTTCCCCCCTTTTGAGCTGGTAGTCTGTAAACTTGTTGATCCCGGCATTGCGTAACACAATGGAGAGGTGGTCTGTGAAGGTGTTGCGGGTGTCGTCGCCTCTAAAGCTCAAGAACACCTCGTACATCCAGCGGTTTGGACGCCGAGAGGAAGATGAAGAGGCGGCGGCGGCGGTTCCATGGGCGGAGCTGCTGGTGTCCATTGTTAATCAATTGGCGTGCAGCTGGCTTCAAGAAAAGTAAGTCAAACTCTCCGATCGTTTCAGTGTGATCGGCATTTCTGAAGCCAATGGTGTCACTACCGTGTAAATAACGCGAGGGTGTTATTCCCACAATTTAATGGGCTCTCATGGTTCATAAGACCCAGGTAGAATTCGGCTACTTACAGTTTTTAGCCCATTAATTTCTATTGGGCCCATTAATCTCTCCCGTCTTAATTTTATTATGAATTTTTACTTTCTAACTTCCAAATTCCAATGCATATTTTAGCACATATGGAATTTATGAGAAGCTAAAGGAGAGACGAAACGAGAAAAAGATCGATGAGTCTCCTCAGTTGATTTGATACCTTATCTTCAAGAATTGGGTTACAAATTTTAATGCGTATGTTAGCACATATGGAATTAAAACAGGGTGAGTTTCATATTTAGATATGCGATCTGATTCTTAAGGTAAATGTTACACATTGGTAGAATAAAATCGATCATATGATTTACACATTAGTTACAAGTTTTTGCATCTCTTTAGGTTCCACTGAGACCTTTGGTTTGGATGTTGTGCAAGACGCAGTTACAAGGAAGATGATTGGTCTGGGAAAGTATCATGATGGTCTTTAGTACTTGACACAAGACCAAAACCCACATCTAGCCTACAACATCCACAAACATTTCAACCTTTGGCACCAACGTCTCAGACATCTCTCCATCGGACCGCTTCAAGCCTTAAATTAAACAATTTCTGATATTCATTTTGATTCTAATCATATATGTGAAATTTACCTTCTCAAACCTAAAGTGGTAAAATGTAATTTACCCTATAATTTAAACTACCTATTAACGAAACTTTAATAAATTAAAAGTTATGTAGAAATACAATAAATTACACACGAACGAAACACACTATTGTCTGACGGAGACTAGTTTATATCTGGATCCAGAAGACAAGACAGTAATATTCCACACGCGGAGAAGGCCAATAAATTAATCTCAACTGAACTCGCTTCCCACCCACCCACCGCCACCGTTCTCCGCCACCATATTCCCAAATCTCCCCACCTGGATCCTCTCGATTTCATCCTCCTCTGCCTTGCTTAACTCTATCTGCTTTGCTCTTCTACTGATTTCCTCTCTCTCCCCCCAATTCCCAATCATAAATCTAATCCACTCCCACTGAAGTAGTTCTCATCAGTGGCCATTTTAAAATTGTGGGGTTGTCGGTGGGTGCCTCTGGGTTTTATTCTTTGCCCCCTAAACAAAAGACACGCCCTATATTTGTAGGATCCTCAACCGTGATTCCGGAGATGGGTATGTTTTCTGAAACCTACAGTACGAAGCAAGTCCTTCTATTATAGAAAGTCTTCATCTTTCTCCCTCTTCAATCATACAAAGTCTCCTTACTTCGTTAGTTTTTTCCATTTTTATCTAGACCAAAGCTTCCATCTTTACTTCAAATGTAGTCCTACGAATAAAGGGTACTCTTTGTTTTGGTTAATTAGTCAGCTGCGGATTTCGATTTGGATGCCAAGTGGCTGATCGATCCAAAACATCTTTTTGTTGGTCCGAGGATTGGGAAGGCGCATACCAAAGTGTACGAAGGAAAGTAAGTAAAACGTCTGTGTTTGTTTTGTCTTAGATTCTGAAATTCTGGTCTCTCAAGTTTAGCAATTTAATATGATGTCTTAGATCTTGTTAAATATAAATGCAAAATTAAGTTGGGTTTTTGCAGAACTAACAAAGATCAAAACTTGATTTGGCGTTGTGCAATTATGGTGTTTATGATGCCGAATATGTGTTTTTCGTGTTGAGTTACAACGATGATGTTCTGTTCTGTTGTGTTCTTAATCTGTTTGTTTGTTGCGTTTTGTTTCTGAGGTTGTATTTGTGATTACTAAATGGGCGTATTTGCGATATCTGATGGGGGATTTTTAACTTTGTGATTCTGAGGTTGTTTTTGTTTCTCAATCAAAGGGGCTTGAAAGAGTCGGATGTGGACAGCTATGTTGATGACGTCCTTGTGAATGACAAACCATGGGCCTCCGTAGTGCAAGAGGCGTTGTATTTGCATGTGCACATGGTAGTCGAGATAATAGATGTGGTGTTTGTGGACCTGTCCTCATTGATAAGTTCAAAGAGGAGGCTGAGCTGCGAGGATTGACGAATCAGGTATTTGTTACTGCTTGCTCTCACATTGGAGGCCACAAATATGCTGGAAACTTGATTATCTACAGCCCAGGTTCAGATGGAAGCATAACAGGCCATTGGTAATATCTGGATCATAACAATTTAAAATTTATCGTATTGGGATATATGAAGGAATGTGAATATTATGTATTATTCACGGCAGGTATGGCTATGTCACTTCTGACGATGTGCCGGAATTGCTTGATCAGCATATTGGGAAAGGAGAGATCATCGAACGACTTTGGATGTTTGTGCATTTTTGGTTTTGCTTACCCCCTTCTGATGAAGATTTCACTGGAACTGAAGTGTCTGTCATATTTTTTGATTGCCGATTATTTCTAGTGTTGTATGATAGATTATTGATATAGAGTTGCATTAACATCGAGGAACCAAATCAAACAACTAGTGTGAGCCAAATCAAACAACCTTTTTTTATTGATAAACAAAACCAGAGGTGGTTTGGGGAACGGGGTATGGGGTCAAGTAGGCACTTTACAGAGATGGAGAAAGCGAAGCAGATCTAGCGAATTGGATATAACGGCATTACCCTGTATGTGTTTCTGATTTGTAATGTTCTTCTGATTAATTGTTGTCAAATTGTGTATTAAGCATGATCATACCTGTTCTTACTCAATTGCTATTGACGAAACTTACAGTTGAATCTTTAAATAACTGAACACAAAATTCAATTTCATTCCTTACAGGGGGCAAATGGGAGTATCTTCTGATGAAGCTGAAAAAAATTAATGACCCGAAGCTTCCAAATGGAGGAGAAAGTAAGAAAATCAAGGAGAAGCCCCAAGAAAACAGCAATCAGATTCAGAAGAATGAGAACTTTTCAGGCTGTTGCAAGGGGCTAATAGTAATCGATTTACATGCTGCAAAGAAGTAAGTTTGTAGCAGAATGGTGGAAGTGAGGAAAAGAAGCTGAAAGAAACGAGAGAGTCGTGTGCCAGGAAGGATGCCTTAGGGAAGCTGCCAAGCTTGATTGGGAACTGGGAGCAAAGCGATGTTCTCGCAGCTGCTGCCGTGGTTGGAGCAGTGGCAACAGTGGCCGTGGCCTATAGCTTTTATAGAAGGTCAGGCTGAAACATACTCTAATCCATGTTGGGTTCTGCCACGGGTGTAGAGGCCCTATATTTTTTTCCCCTTGTAGAAAGATGTTATAACGTCAATTAAATAAGCTCTTATATAAAAGGAGAATATGGTAGCTATACTAAACGTTCATTTTTGGAGGGTGGGATGATTTCCCGAAGCTAAGCCATATACAGTTACAAAAATATTCACTATTCCTTTCCGTAGTTGATTGCTTACACAACTGATTTGTTGTTCCAATATACTGTTGAATGGTTTTATCTTGATGGTGGGATTTGTTATGAGACTGCTTTGACGTGGTGTTTTCTAAGCTATTGTGATTGTTTTCGATTTGCCTGCTGTCGATTCTGTCAAAATTTATGATAATTTTTGTCAAAGAAGTCTAAATTTCAAAAGAGAGAAAAAGACGGCGTTTTCCTCGTAGATAGCAAAGCTCAGAGTTTGGTCGAGATCATCGTCCACTGCTGATCTTTGCAAGCATCTCCTCAACGCCTCAATACCGTTGTACTCATCCCATCAGCTCTGTCTCCTCCGCCACCCCCCCCCCAATCCGGCTGCTGCCGCCGCATCGATGTCCTGCATAATCTGCTCTATATCCTTATTCCTCGACTGCTTGTTTCTCGAACCATAATTGGAACAGTCTTTCAAGAGAAACAGCAACTCCTTTACCGTGGCTTTAGCCGTCCACGTCCCATCCACGCTCAGCTGAAGCACTCTGGGCATTGCTCTTCTCTCAGTATTAGTCCTCTGTGCTTCTCTCTGCTGCTCTGGCATATAAGCAGGAAGATACTTGCAGCATGCTCCTTGCATTTCATCGATTCCTCTTCAATGGTCTCGACCAGCCCCCAGATTGTGTTGCACGTACCTGCAGTTTCCTTGAGCACAGTCTTCGATGAAGAAACAATGTCGTCAAGTAGCGCAATTGCCTTCTCAACCAGTTGGCTTGATTTTTCCAAGCCGTGGATTATTTGTAACAACGAAAACACTACGCCCAAAGAGACGGAGATGGAATAGTCTGATGGCAGGTCGAGAGGTTGTGTAGTGTGGCTTGCACACCGATGCCTCCAGCATAGTCTTGATCGAGAAATTCAGCTATCGTGAGCTCGATCATCGCCTTGCTTTTGCAGCTAAATTGATCCTTATTTTGGGCAAGTAAATTATATCTTTTACGTCATTGATCCTTTTGACGTAAGCTACGAATGTCTCCTTCTAGCTAAATTTAGTTAGTTACTGTACACAAAATAAAGACAGTCATTTAGTTAGCCTGTTGGAGTTTAATTTTCTGCATCTTTTGTTAAGATAGATTGTTGGAGATGAGGTTTCTTCCCATTGATACTCTCTAGACTGACTCCAACAGTTGGATCGTGCTTTACACCGAAGATTCTTACGTCCACCTGCGCACCACACTTAAAATACAATAAGGTCGTCAACTGAATTAAAGTTGGGCGGCAGATTTCTCAAAAAGCTATAAAAGAAAGGAAATTGCAGTGACATCATTGGCCCATGCAAAAATTTGATGGTAACATTTATACAAATTAAATTGTGGGAGGAATGAACTTATGCGTTATCGACACGGCAGTGACATCATTGGCCCATGCAAAAAATTTAAAGGGGCCGCCTACACTGGGAAATCTTGGGAAAGACTCGACTTTGGTTATTTGATAGTCAAGCTGCACTTCTACAGGCTGCAATGGATGCCAGCAGCTCCGCCCATGGAGCCGCCGCTGCCGCCTCTTCGTCTTCATCGCGGAGCTCAAACCGCTGGAAGTACGAGGTGTTCCTGAGCTTTAGAGGTGAAGACACCCGCAAAACCTTCACAGACCACCTCTTCCTTGCGTTACGCAATGCCGGAATTAAAACGTTTATAGACAACCAGCTCAAAAGGGGGGAAAACATACCGAGGGAACTTGACCAAGAAATCGAAGGGTCGAGAATCGCCGTCATCATCTTCTCGAAGAGGTACGCGGACTCCCGATGGTGCCTGAGGGAGCTGTCGAAGATCATGAGGTGCCTAAAAGATCAAGAGGGGAAAATAGTGTGTCCAATATTCTACGACGTTGACCCTTCTCAAGTCAGGAAACAGAATGGTAGTTTTTCGAAAGCATTTCGGAAGCACAAAAGGAATGAAGATCCAAATGAGGTCAAGCAGTGGAGAGAGGATCTTCAGGCTTCTGCGGATTTGGCCGGCTGGAACCTCAAAACCACGGCCGACGGGTATACTTTTATGTTTACTTCAAATTTCATATCACCATATTTTACTAATGGACCAAAATTAAGATTTTATCATTAAGGCATTGAATCTGATTTTATATGGTAGAAGAAAAATTGGATGTCCCTAAACTATGATAGAACTGTAATTTTGGTCACTACATAAAACTTTATTAGAATTGGTATATGAATTTTATAAATGGTAGAGCATTTGCTGCAAATGATTTGCATATGAATTTCCGTCAAAATTAACGAAGTGAAACGCAGGGTATGTGCTTTGTTTTTATGGGTGTGTGAAGGACAAATGTTTCACACTTTATCAAATTAAAATACCAATTGTAATAGATTCTTAATTATATTACCGAAAGTTACAATTGCATAATAGTCCAATTACCAATGATCTAATAATCAAAGATTAGATATGTGGTTGACTTGAGCTCAATTAATCCAGTTTATTCAAATCTGTTTCAATATGTAAATATCTAGTCATTATGACTAAGGTATTTAGTATGGCTCTCGTAATTTGGAATTTCTACTCATAGGTGTGAAGGAGTGTTTATCGAGAAAATTGTTGGGGACATCAAGGGACTATTGAAAACCACAGACTTAGAAGCCAAGCACTCAGTTGGAATGGCTTTTCGCATGCAAGAATTCAGTACTAAATACTTAGACGTTGGAGGTTCACCTGATGTTCAAATAATTGGAATTTGGGGTATGGGCGGTATAGGTAAAACAACGCTTGCCAGAGCCATTTGTAGCAATTATCAGCACAATTTTAGTCGTCAATGTTTCCTTGAAGATGTGAGGAGTAAAAAGAAAGAGATGGTTAGTCTGCAAGAACAACTTCTTCGAGATATTTTGAAACGGCTTGACATTAAGGTAAGCAATGTTGCCGAAGGGACCAAGGAGATAGAGAAAAGACTTGGAAGCATGAAGGTACTCATTGTAGTTGATGACATAGATGATGCAGACCAGTTAGATGAGTTGGCGATAGAACACAAATCGTTTGGTTCAAGGAGTAGGATTATTATAACAACAAGAGATGAACAAGTGTTGAATATAAAGAAGGTGGATAAAAGATATAAGGCACAAGAAATGACTAATGAAGAAGCTCTTGAGCTCCTTAGTTGGCACGCGTTTGGAAATCCTTGTCCTGACTGAAGAATATATTGAACTCGCAAGAGATGTTGTTGACTATTGTGGAGGATTGCCCCTAGCTCTGAAAGTTGTTGGTCGTTTGTTGGCTACAAAAAAGAGTAAAACCATATGGGAAAGTACATTGGATAAATTGAGAAATATTCCATATCAAAAAATTCATGAAACACTTAAATTAAGCTACGATGGGTTAAGTGATGATCATGTGAAGGATGTGTTCCTTGACATATCTTGTTTCTTTATTGGATGGAGTAAAAATACTTTCACGGCAATATTGGATGGTTGTAGTCATTTTTCTGTAGAAGCAGAAATTAACACACTCTACGATCGATGTCTCTTATATATTGATGAAGAGGGAATATTGAGGATGCATGATTTGATTCGAGATATGGGAAGAGAAATTGTGCGGGCAAAATCTCTTAAAGAACTGGGAAAAAGTAGTCGCTTGTGGTATAGCGAAGATGCAAAAAGCGTGCTAAGAAACAAATCTGTAAGTACTTTTACAATAAAAAGATGTTAATGTTAAGTACATGTAAAGAAAGAGAACTATATATGCATATCGGCATATATATAATGCATGCCGTACATAAGTATATTTGAAGAAAAAGAAGAAAAGAAAAGGCTTTCATCCACTGTAATTGAAAGAGAAAATACATAATTATGTTGTATGCCCTGCCTTTCTATTAGTTCATTCATCCAATTCACGGCTCTACTTCGTGTGAATATTATCCTCTTCTTTTTTTTTTTTTTTTTTTTTTTTTTTTTAATCTCTAACAGGGAACAAAAGCAGTTGAAGGACTACAATTAATTTTGCCAGAAGATAGTGACGAGCAAAGCTTCAGTACAGAAGCGTTTAAGAAGATGCGGTGTCTGAAATTTCTCATGCTGGAAAATGTAAAGCTGACTGGAAGCTACAAACATCTTTCCAAGGAGTTAAGATTGTTGATTTGGGATGGATTTCCTCTTGAAGCCATACCAGCAGATTTTGATCAACGAAACCTAGTGTATTTAGGCCTGAGCTACAGCAAGATCGTACGAGTTTGGGAGGATTCGGATCTGGTACGATATAATTATCAATGTCCTTGTAAATATCGACATCGGTCATCGTCGTTCATTCTCTCTTTTATTTATTTGGATTTTTATTATTGTTTTCTCTTTTTGAGTACAGTTGCCTAAGAAGTTGAAGCATCTCATTCTTGTAGACTGCCATGACCTGACTGAATTACCAGACTTTTCAAAACTCCCACTTCTCGAGGCATTGATCCTCAGTGGCTGTAATGGTTTGTGTGGGGGTTACCATTTTTTAGCACAACTGAAGGTGATTGAGGCATTAGAACTCAGCGACTGCAATATAACAGATGGTGCCGTTCTCGAAATAATTGGGAGTCTATCTTCTTTAACAATTTTAGATCTATGTGGGAATGGTTTTAATAAGCTACCCATTCTCAGTGGCCTTTCTCAGCTTCAGTTTTTATATCTAAATCGATGCACAAACCTTCAGGCAATCCCAGATTTGCCGAACAGTTTGATTGAATTGAAAGCGAATTACTGCACTGCACTGGAAATAATGTCCGACTTTTCAGAGATGTCGAAAATGTGGAAATTGGAACTGAAAGACTGCCACAAACTCAAAGATATTCCAAACTTGGAAAACTCAATGGACAACATGGGTTCAATTCATATGGATGGGTGTACCAGTCTCACTGATACTTTTAAGGAGAACCTCCAAACGGTATGGTACTCTCTCTCCTCTCTCTCTCTCTCTCTCTCTCTCTCTCTCTCTCTACTTTTTGTATTGTTGCTTATACTAACTTTGCACCCCATGATGTAGAAAAATGCATTTGGTGGAATTTTTTTCTCTGGAAATGATATTCCTAACCGGTTAGTCTATGTCGCGAGAGAG